GCCGCGCGGATCGAACGTCAGTACTGAATCTTAACCTCACACTTTAGTAAATTTAAATTCAAAGTTTCACAATAATACGTGCAGTCTTCTCACTACAGTGAATTTTTAAGTGTCTCCAAGACATTAGAAAAATGGAACTCAACCGAGAACATTTTCGTGCCATAATTTATTGCAACTTTCAGAGACAATTATCGCAACAAAAATGCCTTGCTGAGTTACTGTCTCTTTTCGGCAACGAACACGACAATTTACCCGTTGGTATGGAGAATTCAAATGTAGACAGGAAAACGTCGATGCTGTGCGCAAACTCATCATTGAAGATAGACATGTGACATATCGCAAGATTGAGGCGTCCTTGAAGATCTCAAAGACCTGAATTAAAAAAAATTTACATGAAGAATTAGGAGTAAGAAAATTAGTTTCTCGTTGGATACCCCACCTGTTTTGACTGAAGAGCAGAAAGCAGCCAGAGTTAATTGGTGTCAAAAAACGCTTGACCATTTCAATTTCGGAAACTCAAAAAATGTGTACAGCATTGTTAGTGGTGATGAATCGTGGATTTACTGTTATGAACCAGAAAATAAACGACAGTCGGCTGTTTGGGTGTTCCAAGCTGAAGAAAAGCCAACAAAAGTCATCGATTCTCGAAGTGTTTCGAAAAAGATGGTCGCGACATTTGTGTCGAAAGCAGGTCATATTGCAACAATTCCTCTTAATGAGCAAATAACTGTTACTGTGGATTGGTATACCACCATTTGTTTGCCAAAAGTCATGAGCGAGCTTCGAAAAATCAACCCCGAAAGAAGAATCATCCTCCACCAAGGCAATGCAAGCTCGCAAAAGCCCAAAAAATAAGGCAGTATTTGACGGAAGAAAACGTGGAATTATTAGACCATCCTCCATATCGTCCCGATGTAAGTCCTAACGATTTCTTTACTTTCCCGAAAATTAAAAACAGACTGCGTGGTCAAAGGTTCCAGTCACCAGAAGAAGCAGTTGACGCATTCAAAAACGCCGTTTTGGATCTGCCTGCAAACGAGTGGAATAAGTGCTTCGAAAATTGGTTCGAGCGCATGTAGATATGTATTAATCTTCGTGGGGAATACTTCAAAAAACAATAAAGTCATTTAAAACTACCTACCGTGGTGTTTTATTTCCATATGCAAAACTTAAAAGACATCCCTCGTAGCTAGATGCACCACAAGCTGAAAGGTAACTACCGACAAGAAACTGAACATGAATATTAAGGCTGAAGAGTGTATCTACTATTGTCTATCACTGTTAAAAGTCCCGTCGGACTGTTAGATAGTGTAGCCGCCTTGGCTATCTATCCAGATACCAGACAAGTTCAAGGGTTTCTTTTGCACCTGACTGTATAATACAAAAAACAATATTCAGACCCAAAAATACAGACAAGTGGACAAAGAAAACATGTAGGTGTTTGTCAAAATAAGTGAAGACAAATGCAAAGGTACAGACAAAAGATAAACAAAGCTTATGCTTATTTTTAGTAAACCAAACAGAAAATGCATAATTCAAATAATTATGACTGATATTTCTTTGACGTCTGACTGCTAAATAAAACTACCTACAGTATATTCAAATAAGAGATAGACCAGATGTAAACAAAAGGTTCGGGTGATTTTCACGCTAACGCCGCCGTCTCGACGTAAAACAGGAGCCCTCATTGGTCAATTCGCAATTAAATGCCTATGCCGAGCGGCAGAGCAGTCGTATCAAGGCAGAGTCACATTCAGGTTCAGACATGTTACGTATGTCGTGTGCATCATTGCAATTTGATATTTCTTTGGACGTTTTCGTTTGTTATCTTATTAAGTTGTTGAGTTTGTCGTTGTTATTATTATATCTTGTTATTGATTGTTATTGTTATCAACTGCTTGCGCAAAATGCCCAGTAGTACAGATACTGCCGATGAAGTTGTAAACTCCTGTAGTCCACCTAGGAAACGCTCTAAAAAAAGACACCTGAGTGCAGAAATGAAAGAGGTCATTTTGAATATATATAAGATCGAGCGCGAGGAGAACGAGGCATCAACCATCAAAGAAATTGTTGTGAAGGTTTCTCACAAAGTTGGGGTGTGTCGCGCATCAGTGTTTAATGTGTTAAGACAATACAAAAAAAATCAAACCTTTTCTGAGCCAATGACCAGTAAACATCGCAAAAGTATTGTTAAATCATTGGATGAAGCTGATAAGCATGCGATTAGGAGGAAAGTGCATGAATTCTTCTTTAGGAATGAAATACCTACTATAGATAAAGTACTGCAGGAGGTAAATGGTGATACAACGTTGCCAAATTTCAAACGATCAACTTTCCATGCGTTACTGAAGCATTTAAATTTCAAATGGAAAAAACGGGGACGTAATAGTTTACTACTGGATAGAGAAGAAATTGTGCTATGGAGGAGGGATTATTTAACAAAAATTGGGAAATATAGAAATCAAAACAGGAAGATTTATTACCTTGATGAAACGTGGGTAAACGCAGGACACACTACAAGTAAAGTATGGGTTGATGATTCTGTAACTTCATCCAGGAGGGCCTTTCTAGATGGACGGTCCACCGGATTAAAAAATCCAGCAGGTAAATACGAGTAATAGACAACAATCGGATGTTTTTCAAACCTTGGGAACAAGGTTCTAAACATTAATTCCAGGGGGCAGATTAAACATATTACAAGTAACAAAACTTTTATAACTTTCGATAAAATGCGTGGATGTTTTATTGTCCTTTTCATTTGTTAGAACTTTTTTAAGCCATGTTTTTATGTGTTTTCGATATTTCAATAATTTTTTAATATAATCTTAAAATATGTCGAATATTATAAACTTAAAAAAAGTTACTAAGTTTTATATTGTGTACCGTTCCTAATATTTCTAATCATTTTAATTCATACTTTAAGCTTTATAAAGTTATAATTTGTTAATATTAATATTTGCGCGTATTTCAGGTTCCTGATCATTCATTTTTTAAAGGTTTATAACTTTAAATTAAATTGTGAAGCGCTGAGTAATCATACGACGTTCAATATTCTTTCTTTCAATATGACTAAATAATCCCAATTATAGCAATCTGATACTCATGTCTCAATGTTTTTTCGCTGAATGTGATGAAAACATTTGAAAAAGGTTCGCTTATTGAAATAAATCTACACCAGTTAGTACTTCGATTTCCAGGTAAAGGGAAAAGGTGCATTATCTGCCATATTGGCAGTGAGGATGGATTTGTTGTTGACGGTCTGTAGTGCTTTGAGTCTAAGAAAACTGGAGATTACCACGAGGAAATGAATGGCGAATCGTTTGAACAGTGGTTTTCAAAAATTTTACCGAACTTAGAGGAAAACGCAGTAATTGTGTTGGATAATGCGCCTTATCATTCTCGAAGAATGGAGAAGGTCCCAACAACGGCTTCAAGGAAAGTTGATGTTCAAAATTGGCTCCGCTCGAAAAATACCAACTTTGAAGAAGCAATGCTGAAAGTACAATTATTAAGAATTGTCAAGGATCACAAGGCGGAATATCAAAAATACGCCATTGACGAAATGGCAGCAAGTCAAAATAAAACTGTGCTCCGTTTACCTCCATACCATTGCGAGCTCAATCCCATTGAGCTCATATGGGCAGAGGTTAAAAATTATATAGCCAAGCACAATACAACTTTTAAATTTTGTGACCTCAAAGGACTTTTCAAAGAAGCACTAGAATTAATAATAGCGCAAAAATGGGAAAACTGTATTAAGCACGTGAAAGACAAAGTTGAAAAGAGAATGTGGGAACTGGACAATATTTTAGAGGAACAAGTCGAGCCATTCATTATTGACGTTGGTGCTTCAGGCAGTAGCGATGATGAAAGCTCATCAAGCTCATCTTTCCAATGAAAGATGTCGTTCATCAAATTCGGTAAGTTATAAGTAATTATAAAGCTACTGTATTTTTTAATTAACTATTGACATTTTTGAACCCATTTTGGCAAAACCTATTCAAGAATCTACTTTCTGACAATGTTCAACCATGCACATTTTTTTACGTTTTGAACGTTTTAATTTGGTTACATATTTACCTAGAAATCAAAAAATATACTAATCAATATTCTAAAAGCAATTTTAAGAGATATACGATTATTTTTAATTTAGGCTAATTTAAACGCCATTTTGAGATTATATTCGACTGTATTTCACCAAACATCAGGCGGCATCCGAAGCTGGAAATCGAAGCGAAAATTTTGAAACCCTTATGTATATTTACATCATTATATATTTCTTACCCCACCCCCACATGATCCTATATCCATCACCAATCGTATACACATCGAATTGTGCTAATTTACTACAAAGTTACACAAAGCAGCATCTACTATCTAAAATATGTACTGCGTGACTCTTAATACGTCCCTGCCGAATGTTACAGCGTTCGATGATCACGTGGTCTTGTTTATGTCCGGTCTATCTCTTATCTGAATATACTGTACAATGAAAACTCCGGAACCTAGCTTCAGTTTAGATTGTACTTTACTGTATTTTTAAATTAAACCTAAACTTGAAACTTTGAGCGAAACTCTCGAAAAGCGAAACCAAAAGTTGGATGAGAGATGATCACCGATCCACCCTGTAGCCAGGACTTGGCGCCTAGTGACTAACACCTGTTCCCTAAGCCGAAAGAACATCCCACGAGATGATTCAGCTTTAACGACATGATGAAACATGAGGTTCAATGCTTCTTCATGAAGCTGATATGACATACAAAAACTGTCACTGGCTGATAAAATGCATCGACCACGACGGCGATTGCGTGGAAAAATAGGTCAATGTTCAAGATTTATAATGGAAGCAATTGCTTTATAAACGTTTGAATTGGAAATATATTTTGAGATTATTTACTTACTGAGGCACAGTGATCTCTAACTACCTCCCTCCCTCTCCTTCTATTGTCCAACCTTTTCTAATACCAAATACTAAAAGCAAAACCAAAAAATATACTCACCTTTTCCAAATTAGGCACCAATAGATAACAAAAACGTTAGCGAATCACTATAAACTCTCGAATTTCACTACAAAATAATCACATTGCAAATTACTCATTCTCGCCAACACCTAGCACGAATACTGTGTCACAGATAAAGCACAGTATTAGATTATCGATAAAAGTGTTTGCTTTTAGATACTGTCCCTTTTTGTTTTCAGTGAAAATACTTGATCTTATCACGCCAAAAGGTAGATAAACCGAGCAAGTGGAACTGTGAAAATTTCGTTTTTCAGGTTATGTATACGGAGCGGATTACGAAAATGCAGTAAAACTCGTTCAAGGTTGAATGCTGCTCTATTTAACAAATAATTATGTTATAGCCTGATAAGGTGAACAATGTTAATCAATGTTTCATCATTGAAATTTTTGTCGCCTTGGTTCAACCAGTTCCATCAGGATCTTTGGACGAGATGTCGTGTTTGTACTGAAAGAAAGAGAAAAATATTAGAAACTAGCTTTACGTGGCAATGTTAGTGTGCAATTTATTTTAACATCCCTCTACAAATAGAGGCAGGAAAAAATTATAACGATTTCGGGAAAATTCGGCTTTTCCGTCTCTCTTTGAAAGCACTTGTTACAGTTTGTCTTTGTGCCCGACTAATCTTGATAAAGTAAATTATTACAACGTTTTTCCTATTTAGAACAATAATTTTACAGCAATTTAAAAAAAATATTTCAACGAGCCCCTTCCCACTTCAGTTGGCCCACTCAAGATTTGTACCAAAATATGCCTTTATAAACTAAACTGTTTACTTCTAAAACAATTTATTTTCTCAAAAACATTTTAGATACGCTCTAGTCGTAAATAATACGTATTTGAAATCACTTAGACCTATAACTAATAGAATATCTGAACAAATAAACAATGCGCGAATAAATGCGCGAAGTTAACAAAGCAACAATTCAAAGATTATCATTGGGTAACATCACCTTTATTTTTTGTTACGACTGAAATTCTTTGGGGCATAGTGTTAACCAAGTTTTGGCAAAAATTTGGTGTAATATTTCTTGATGCTTTTGTCTCAGTTCGGTGATTGTACGAACAGGATGTTGTCGTAGAACCTTTTTCATGTCTTGCCACAAAGTTTTAATAGGTGACAGATCCGGACTGCTAGAAACCCATTTCAAAAGTGGTACATTATTTTCTTCCATCCATTCTATAACCTTTTTTGAGGTATGGCACGCTGCACCATCTTGCTGAAACACAAAATCTTGGCCGGATGTCAGACATTCTTCCATCACTGGTAAAAACGATTCTTCTAAAATTGCCAAATATTTGTTTGTTACATCAATAAAATGAAGTTTTCCTACTTCTTTTGATGACATACTGCCCCAGGCCATAATGTATGCTGGAAATTCACTTTTCTCTTCAGAAAGTCAACATGGGATGCTCCATTTTTTTTGCGAATAACTCTACTGCGACTGTCACCAACACAAACTTCGAATCGGGCCTCATCACTCCATTTTATTGCATACCAGTGTTGAGGTGTCCATTGTCTATATTCTTTGGTCCATCTAAGCCGATTTTTCTTTTGCAGTGGAGTTAATAGTGGCTTTTCTTTGGCCTATAGACAAGGGTTTTTACTTCACTTCTTTTATAAGAAAGCTTACCTTGCGAGTGGACCTCGAAATTCTCCTTCCAACAGCGTCGCTCCACAGAGCACTTTACTGTTAATAATTGGCACGCCTGTTTTTCACGATTATTCTTCTTAATGCTCTTCGGTCGGCATTTGTGATATTACTTTTTTCACATATCGTGGCTTAATATTAACTGAACCAGTTACGTTATATCTTCTAACAATATTTCTCACACTGTACCGCGATAAGTCTAACAAAGTTGCAATTTCTGAGATTGATTTCCCATAATTAAAAAATATAATTATCAGTAACCGAATTTTCTCACTAATAACCTTTCCTGTACCCATTTTGAAGACCTTAACTACCCAAAACTATTTTAAACGTATTGTGACAGCTGTGATTAATAAAAACAATTGTCATGGCATTTATTTTTCACAGCCACCTATGCGATATAGACTTATTTTGCATTGAAATGAAAATAGGTTGATATGCTGTAATTGCAACATGTGTTATTTTTATGCTGCAAATTTGATTAGGGAGTGATAAAGTTGGTGTTTTCTACTATATATTATCAAAATATTCATTGTTAATATTTTAAACCTATAACACCTTGCTACATTTTTATTATTTTTGTTTGATAAGAAAAAAACTAAGATTTCAATAGTTGGGCCAACTGAAGTGGGAAGGGGCTCGTACACAATCGAGCAAGTCTGCGCACTGTGAACAGAATTAAATCATGCAATTCTCGGTCTAACCAAAATTAAAATCTTTCCACACATACAAATTTCTAAATTAATTGCTCTTTCCCGTTCTTTCTTTATTTCTTCTTCCCTTCTTTCTCCCTGACTTTGTCTGGAACTTTGGCAGACGTACTGACCTAGAATAGTTTAACCAAGACCGAAGGTCCCAGGGACCGCTCTATGAATGGCGAATAGAAGTCGTTAGACAGCTTGGTAATTTCAAAAAAATAGAGGCAGTTATAAATTTCCATGAAATGTTAAGAATTTTTTGTTAAATTGATAACGGCATTCATCATTTTTTGAATTAAGCACTTTATTATAAAGCAATAATCAAATAAATGCTAAAACATCTCACAAACAGAATGTTTCGTATGATATCATAAAAAAGAATATCAAGCTATAACAGTATACGTTTTCATTAGTTGGGCCAACTGAAGTGGGAAGGGGCTCGTATAACAAAACACTTCTCTTGGTCGAATAATTTTATGGTAGAAAATCATACATCTCGTTAAAGGTCATTTTTTTAAATTTCTGTGGACCGTAAGTACGAGAGCTGAAGGTGACTTTCCGGTGCTCTCGTGTTGGAATTCCGCGGCCAACTACCCAATTTTGTGAATAAGTTTCACAAGCAGTGCGGCGGTTTATCGGGTGGTGGAGATTTTAATAGAAATCGACCTCCATTAGTGAGTTTGTTGTCGGAGCCCTTTTTTCACCCTCTTAGGGATTCAGCCGTAGACATAACTACACTCAACCACCGAGCTGGTAAGTAACCATTTTCTCCAAGCCACGTGTTCATTTCCTCAACATGATGTCTAATTATATGGAGGGGAACGGTCTGCAGTGTTAATCCGAGGCGAATTTAAGTAGGATTCACGCTTGTGCAGAGCAGTTCCCCATTTCTGAGAACCCTTATTGTTCGAGGTAATTATGATTTTTTGTTTTACTTTGCTAGGCCTGTCTTAATCTCGTACAAATTGAAAACACAACCAGTTCGTTCAAAAATTAAGAATAAAACTATCAGTAATTGTATTTGTGCCAGTTTAGGCATTCTAATGTAACATTAGTGTTATATTATAACCATTTAATTATCCATTGCTGAGGTCAATATCGAATTCGTCAAAAGCTATTAATTCATCAACTTATTTAGTAGTAAAAAGAGATAAATGTTTTGGATTTCTCATTGGTAACATTTATATATTATTCTGTACATAGACTGAGAATAATATAATGTTATTTTTATATTGCTGTAGCTTCTGATTTTGGTTGTATACGAGCCCCTTCCCACTTCAGTTGGCCCAACTATTGAAATCTTAGTCTTTTTTCTTATCAAACACAAATAATAAAAATGTAGCAGGGTGTTATAGGTTTAAAATATTAACAATGAATGTTTTAATAATATATAGTAGAAATCACCAACTTTATCACTCCCTAATCAAATTTGCAGCATAAAAATAACACATGTTGCAATTACAGCATATCAACCTATTTTCATTTCATTGCAAAATAAGTCTATAACGCATAGGTGGCTGTGAAAAATAAAAGCCATGACAATTGTTCGCATTAATAACAGTTGTCAGAATACGTTTAAAATAGTTTTGGGTAGTTAACGTTTTCAAAATGGGTAGAGGAAAGGTTATTAGTGAGAATATTCGGTTACTGATGATTATATTTTTTAATCAAACTCAGAAATTGCAACTTTGTTAGACTTATTGCGGTACAGTGTGAGAAATATTGTTAGAAGATATAACGTAACTGGTTCAGTTAATATTAAGCCACGATATGTGAAAAAAAAGTAATATCACAAATGCCAACCGAAGAGCATTAAGAAGAATAATCGTGAAAAACAGGCATGCCAATTATTTACAATTAAGTGCTCTGTGGAGTGACGCTGTTGGAAGGAGAATTTCAAGGTCCATAACTCATAGAGAGGCCCACAAACCGGGATTTAGCACTTGCAAGGTAAGTTTTCTTATCAAAAAAGTGAAGCAAAAACCCTAAAGTTGCACAACTTGTTTATAGGCCAAAGAAAAGCCACGATTAACTCCACTGCAAAAGAAAAATCGACTTAGATGGGCCAAAGAACATAGGCAATGGACACCTCAACAATGGTGTGCAATATAATGGAGTGATGAGGCCCGATTCGAAGTTTGTGTTGGAGACAGTCGCAGTAGAGTTATTCGCAAAAAAAATTGAAGCATTCCATGTTGACTGTCTGAAGAGAAAAGTGAAATTTCCAGCATCCATTATGGTCTGAGGCAGTATGTCATCAAAAGGAGTAGGAAAACGTCATTTCATTCATGGAAATGTGGATACAAACAAATAAATGGCAATTTTAGAAGAATCGCTTTTACCAGTGATGGAAGAATGTTTGACATCCGGCCAAGATTTTGTGTTTCAGCAAGATGGTGCAGCGTACCATACCTCAAAAAAGGCTATAAAATGGATGGAAGAAAATAATGTACCATTTTTGAAATGGATTTCTAGCAGTCCAGATCTGTCACCTATTGAAGCTTTGTGGCACGAGATGAAAAAGGTTCTACGACAACATCCTGCTCGTACAATCACCGAACTGAGACAAAAGCTTCAAGAAATATGGGATTGTTTTACACCAAATTTTTGCCAAAGCTTGGATAACAGTATGCCCTAAAGAATTTCAGCCGTAATAAAAAATAAATGTGATGTTACCCAATGGTAATCTTTCAATGGTTGCTTTGTTAACTTCGCGCATTTATTCGCACATTGTTTATTTGTTCAGATGTTCTATTAGTTATAGGTCTAAGTGATTTTAAATATGTGTTTTTTACGACTAGAGTGTATCTAAAATGTTTTTGAGAAAATAAATTGTTTTAGAGGTAAATAGTTTCGTTTATAAAGGCATATTTTGGTACAAATCTTGAAGTGGGCCAACTGAAGTGGGAAGGGGCTCATATGTTAAATTTAAATTTTTAATACTTGGAAGCAAATTAAAAGGGGGGGACTAATAGTCAAATCGTTTTTTCGGGTTATTTTTTTTAACAAGTAATTTTTTCTATTTAGGGTTCTATATACGGGTTCTATATACTTTCGTGCATCAGGTTACACCTGGGACTTCTTGCCCTCGGTTGCCTTGCTGTGATAGCCAGGCACCTGCCAATGTGTTTTTTTTTATTCTCGTGTTTGACTGTAAACCATTTATGGTAGTACAAAATAACTTTCTTTGTCCTCCGAGAATACTTTTAATTTTTTTTATTTCTTTTGTTCAATAAATATGTGTGTACCTTGTGAGTTTGTATCTCCTTCAGCGCCAGAGATCCAACACTGGTTACTTTTTATTTCTCTTCCTAGTGCTTGGAACTAGGTGGCGCCCAAGCAACAACCATTTGCATCCAAAAACCAAAGTACAAAGAACCTCACTCTGAGGTCTTATTAACTACCGACTAACTTTCTTTTAGCGGGATAACACTTTGAATTTCGAAACTTTCTACTACTATTTTGTTAGTTACCTACATACGCAACTTTGCATTATTTAAGCGACTTCGTATCTCTTACTGTTTGCGAGATCCCAATGGTGGGAATCGAATTTGGTACGATATAAAATTAGGCATGTTCTAGCAATTATTTTCAAACTGTCAGTTGACCAAACCACTTTCTCAAACAAGTGTCGTTCAACTCTCAACTATTTCCAACAAACTGTCTACAACGCTCAGAAATTCTTTACCAGAACAGACCTAATTATAGTCGGTCCCTACTAAAAAAGAGTGCCGTATGTTGCAGCTATACGAGGTCTGTGTATTAAGTAATGAGACAGGCAACGTAGCGTTCGATACGGCAACAATGGAGGCGCCGGGCTTGCAATGGGGACAGGGAAACATGTGATCTGCCTTCAGTAGAAGTTTAAACTCGGTCGAGAGATAGTGTTTTGTCAAAAGCCCCGGTTTTTCGGTGGTTTAAGGTATTTTCAGAAGGAAAAGAGACGATCTAATATGAACCACGAAGCGGAAGGCCTTCATCTTTAAGAACCGAGAACAATATCGACAGAATCCGGAACAGTGGTTGGGTCATAGTCAGAATGATCGATGAATAGTTAAATTTGAACCACAGCACCGATCATGAGATTTTGACCAATTGGGGGAAGAAAGAAAGCTGCGCAAAATGGTTCCAAAAAACCTTTCGCAAGAACGAAAGAACATGAGGAAGGAAAGGTGCCTTGACTTTTTGGATTCGATTGAAAATGACCCTCATTTTCTGGTACTACTGGTGACGAGTCTTCGAAGTTTGAGTACGACCCAGAAACCAAGAGCCAGAGTATGGGGTGGCACACCTCAACCTCCTCAAGACCCAAAAAAGCAATAAGGAAGAAGTCCAAGACAAATGCATGCTGATTTGTTTTTTCTATATCTGCGGAATCGTCGACAAAGAGTTCCTACCTCAAGGCCAAACGGTCTATCAACACTTTTACCGGGAGGTTCCTGAGAAACTTCGAAAAAGGGCCATTCGTGACATCGAGAACAACTGGGTGTTGCATCATTGTCACACAAACAAGTTCTAAAAACATTCATGTGGCTCTTCAGCCTGCTTATACTGCGACATGAGTGCTTGCGACTTTCTTCTCTTCCCCAAGTTAAAGAATCACCTCAAGGGAACTCATTTCCGGACATTAGAACACATTCAAACGGCTGTAACCGACCTGTTCGAGTATTCGAATTTCCAGCACCGCTAATAGGAGTGGAATAACCGTTTCCAGCACTGTGTGGCTTCAAATGTATATAAAAGTATATTTGAATCAAAAAATCAGTCTCATTACTTAATTCATAGACCTCGTATGATGCAGTAAAAATATAGCCCGTCTGGAAGCATCGTTAGTGTTAAAATTACTATCTGTTAGATAGTGATGGAGTTTCACCAAGTAAAGAGTACCTACGATCTACCCGAAGAGATTTCAACTCACCACAACATCGATTATCTTTGGCTTAGTATCTCCAGGACCCACAAGGTCGTCCAAGGATTTAATCAACTTTATCACAGTAAATTTTTCAGTCTCTGTCTCACATGGAGACTGTGGCTCATCATCACATTCACTATCACTCCAATAATCATAGTTGGAAGGCTCTCCCAAATCGGTTTCCTTATAACTACCAAAACTGCGCTCACAACCATCTGTTTGACTAGTGCTTTGTTCCAATGGGCATAGATATCTATTTATCTCTACAGTACCGTTAACATCTGCAAAAAAAGGTCAAAGGTTCAGAGACGTCCAAAGTTCAAGTGCACGGAATCACTAGAAATAAGACACGTTTTCCACAGGTTCTTCTCCCCACCCACGAAGCAGCCAGGGCTCGACAGAAGGAAGCCTATTTCTCTGTATACATTATTTTGATATACAGGGTGTCTCAATATTACGTAGACATGAAAGTACCATGTATTATTAGACTAAAAATAAGTTAATTGGACAAGATTTACCATTATGTATGAGTAACACTATTATTGCTGGTACACAGTGTGGTTTTCGTAAAAATGTTGTGGCTCCAACGAACGTACTCGATGACATATTAATAGCAAATGATAAAAAGATGAGTTCAGTTTTGGTACTTCTAGACTTTTCAAAAGCTTTTGATACCATTAATCATGAATTGTTGGTAGCTAATCTTCAGTACTATGGCTTTAATAATTGCTTTTATCATATTTGACAGGAAGGTATCAATCGATTCTATCAAATGACACATTTTCAGACAAAGCGGAGATCCTATCGGGAGTTCCTCGGGGATCAATATTGGGGCCCTTGTTATTTTTAATTTATTCATCTGATATCCTTACGACTTTAAAGTTTTGTAAAGTTCAGGCCTTCGCGGATGCCACTCAGGTTTATTGTTTTTTCGATGTTGAGGATTACAAATATTACGAAAATTGTATAAATGAGGACATTAACACCTTGAACAATCTCTCATTAGGTCACAACTTAAAACTTAATCCAGAAAAATCACATGTAATGATTTTTGGTAACAAATCTAAGACTGAGTTTTTGAAAGCTAATCTCAATATAATGACTAATAATTCAAAATTGAATATGTTGAAAGTACAAAAAATCTCGGTATAGTTTTAGATTCTAAGCTCAGATTTAAAGATCACCTGAAAAATCTTATGCAAAAATCATTTTGTTCTCTAAAAGTTTTGTATAATAACAGACACATACTAAACAGATCACTAAAAAAAATTGGGTGAATTCCTAATTCGTTCCAATTTCAATTATTGCGATTTTGTCTATGGGTTTTGCTTAGATCAGGCAAGTAGAGGTCTGATTCAGAAAGTGCAAAATGCGTGCATCAGGTTTATGTATGGTCTGCGTAGGTTTTATCATATACCTCATTTGTATAAAGAAATTAAATGGCTTAAAATGAATGAGCGTCGCACTCTCCATTTTTCTAGTTTTTTATTAAAAATTATAAACACTCCAGGTTCACCTGATTCTATAAGAGAACGCTTAATTTTCCGACATTATGTTCATGATATAAACGTAAGATATTTAAAAAAATTAACTATGCCGCTTCATAGTAGTGCATTCTTTCAACGATCATTCTCATACAATGCTGTTAAACAATTTAATTCAATTCCCAACCAGTTCCTTAATCTTTCTCTTTCAAGTTTCAAAGTACAATATAAGAAATATTTGCTAAATGCAAATCTGAACAAACTTTTTTAGAATAGAGATTGAAGTTGGGAATACAGATATACAGGGTATCCCAGAAGTCGACGTCAAGCCGAAACCGGGTGATAGGCAAAGTCATAACAGCTATCAGAAAAATATTTAAAAAAATTTTATGTACGTGTTTTGAAAATTATAGGTCTTTGAAAAAGATATAGAAATTTCACACCCTACGGCAGTCTGTCCACTCCTGTTACTATAAATATTAACTTTTTTTGGATTTTATTTTTACAATGTAATGATGAATAATGCATCTTCAAACTGGTGTCTAAACCTTACTGCCAACGTGATGCTAGGAGCTGTCGAAGAAGACCCTAGTACTTCAGTGCGTGCAATAGAACTAAAAACAGGTATGCCCAAAAGTACAGCCCATAGAATCTTGCAAAAAAACGTGCTCCACCCATACCACATACAGCGTGTTCAACCTCTCCTGCCCCGGGATTATGACCCCCAAGTTGCTTTTTGACGCACAATGTTACAAAGACACAGGAAAGATCCACAGTTCTTTGCAAAAATTTTATGGTCGGATGAGACCACATTTAAGAAAGATGGGTACATGAACCTGCATAACTTACACGAGTGGCACGTAGCAAACCCACATTTAATGAGAGAAGATAAATCTCAATATCGCTTCAAGATAAACCATTGGACAGGAATTTTAAATGGTAAAATAATCGGTCCGTTTGAGTTCCCAGAGACTTTGACTGCTGAAGTTTATTTGGATTTTTTGAAAAATCATGTACAAAATTTATTGGTGGACGTGCCACTGAGTATTTACAGGGACATGTGGTTTCAGCATGATGGCTGCCCAGCGCACTATGCACTCTCAGTGAGAGAGTATCTCGATCAAAACTTTCCAGGCAGATGGATAAGGCGGTCTAGTACAATACCGTGGCCAGCCCGATCACCTGATTTGAATCCTTTAGATTTTTTTTACTGGGGAACTGTAAAAGAAAAAGTGTATTTCAAGCCGATTCAAAATGTAGCTGAGCTACGGCAAAGACTATTGGAAGCAGCTGAGTTTGTTAATAACCGTGGATTCGCTCGTTCAATAACCCGATCTTTTTTAAGAAGATATCGAGCGTGTATTGCGGCTGAAGGAAAACAGTTTGAGCATTTGCTGTAAAGGTAAATCATCATCAGCAACATTTTGACGCCCACTGTTGTGCAAACAGATATCCTTAAGGGTCCTTGTGCGTTTTCATAATCGCTGTTTAATTAGGAAATTTTGAAAAATTTTCATCAGTTTTTTTTTTAAAATAAAAATTGTGCATAAGTTAACGAGTAATATTCTAAGTATTATACCATTTTGGAATCGTTATTAAATGCGCCAACTTTTAAGGTTACTTGCCACACTCTCGTAGTACATTTTTTTCCAGTACAGCCAGTTAAAGTTGAGCAAAGTTTTACTTTGGAATACTTGGTTGGGAAATAAGTGGCAATTTTTCCTGAACGAGAAAAGTTGGCAGTAAGGTTGAGACACCAGTTTGAAGATGCATTATTCATCATTACATTGTAAAAATAAAATCCAAAAAAAGTTAATATTTGTAGTAACAGGAGTTGACAGACTGCTGTAGGGTGTGAAATTTCTATATTTTTTTCAAAGACCTATAATTTTCAAAACACATACATAAAATTTTTTTAAATATTTTTCTGATAGCTGTTATGACTTTGCCTATCACCCGGTTTGGGCTTGACGTCGACTTCTGGGACACCCTGTATAAGTAGAAAAAATATGTCAAGCAAATTTTATAGTAACCAGTAACCAAATTTCATAGTGACCAGTATTAATTAATATCTTTTTGAAATTTTAATTTACTTTCAGTCCATCTAATGTTAACACGGGATTATTATTATCATTATTCTGTATTGTTGTTTGAAGACTTATTACTATTATTATTTTTTTTGTCTTATTTTGGTTCAGTAGAGTAGCTTTAAGTTAGACTTGCGCCAATATTAGACAATGTATTCTGTATTTCTTTTTCTGAATTACCTTTGTAAAAAGATTATTTGTTGTATTCAATAAAGTCATTTATTATTACGCAAAAGTGCTTCTTTTGTCCGTCAGATGGCGTCAAGGGCGTGTCTTTTTAAAACACTCTTTTTTCAGATATTTTTGGAACCGATAGTCAGGCTTGAATTAAGTTTGTAATACATGTGCAGCTGGACGACGCGTATTTGACGAAAAAATCTAAAGGGTTCGAGGAGGGTGAAAACTTATAGGAGATTTTTGTCGCAACTCTCCGAACGTTTCTGATTTTAATTTATTTGAAAGGTCTTTTGATTTACTTCATTTTTCGTCTCTTATAAAAACATGCCATCTCGCATAGTTTTCGGGAAAAACATTTCTTCGAACCTGGTTTCATAAAATTTTATTGTTACATCAAGTGTTGAAATTTTTTGGGCCGTATTGTTATGTGCAGGAAGGGAAATGGTAGTCCTATTGAACACCTTTTATGAAAGACTCGCACTATCGCCTGTATCAAGATTCTAATAAGTAATATCATACTTGTTTATTTTCACTAATTACACTTAAAGAATTAACAAGGCGCTTGGGAGCCTCTTGTTGCTACTCATCTTTTTTATACATATAAGTACACAAAGAGAATTCATAGTCGTCGGAAAAGTTGACAAAAAATTTGACTATAATTTATGTAGGGGTGGGGGTAATTTTTAACCCTCCTAGAACCATTTAGCGTTTTTCGTAAAAGTCAAATATTGTAACTTCTAGCAAAAATGTGTTTTGAATTTCACTCATATCGATTCTTAAAATATCTTAAAAAATGTGTTTTGAAAAAAAATTGACGCCCTCTAGTGGACAAGCGAAGCATTTTTGCATAGAGGTAAATTATGTCCAATCAACATATTTTGAGTCTAAAAATTGGTAGTACCTCTATGTCCACGGAATATTGGGACACCCTGTAGAAAGGAATCTAATGCAGAAGTTACCTGTTCCGTAATTGTCTACGTCTTTATCGCCATCAACACCATCATCATCATCACTTTGTTTCAATATAGAATGATTTATATTGTCCCCTCTTGAACTGGATTGCGATTTGTCAAAGTTGTTACTGAACTCTACGATACTTTTATCACCATTTTCTAAGTCTCTATCATTGCGTTTCTCACTGCTGACCGTACCAAAACTACAACTGCCATAAAAATCTATCAAATCGTTATTTTGTCCTGATATATAACGATGATAGTCCTCTTTCAAACCAGAATCCGAATACAATTTCACTCGAGAGACTACAACATTATCTGCTATACTGTTATCAACTTCATCATCTGCCTTGTCTTCTTCAGAAATATTTCCCAAATTTTGACTCTGAATCGAGGTATTGTCCAGGATACTATCGAAAATGGATAAACTTTTCCTCTGATTTCTGTTATGTTTGTTGGAACCTCTCTTTTGTACTAGTTCAGGTAAAGAGGTGGATAGACCAGATTCGGCTTTTTTATCCAGGTAGAGTTCCCAGGCCTCGAGAGAATTAATGGACCGCTCTGATGCAGCTCTTCTTATTTCTCTTCTTGTGACCTAAGAAATCAATAGATGAATTAAATTGTTATAAATATACTGAGTGACAGAACAGGTAAACAGCTACGTATGTTAATCCTGTTTTAATAATTTTTTTTAGTGAAGCGTGGTATTGACTACCATAGAAGCACAAATGCCGGCATACAGAGCGTTGAGGCGGCTTCCGTGGAAGTTAATATGACGGGAGGTGTCCCGTTGAAGATCACACCGATGTATGTCAGGTGGCCCTGGAAGTCCTTATGGACTACTCTTATTGTAGCGGGGGACTTCAACTGCAAACACAGAGCATGGCGTTCTAGGTTGAATTCCACCTGTGGGATTCGACTGCACAACCATGTGATTCGAAACGGTTACCTCATTCACAGTACTGAAGAACGCACGCACCACCCATTTAATCGCCTCCAGGCACCAGATGTCATCGACTTTGCAATATCTAGAAACTGTAGATACAGTATCACTTCTCGAATCATGTACGACATTTCTACCGATCATCTTCCTATCGTACTGGAAGTGGGTAATGAGCAAACCTTGGAAGAGGGAACTTCTGCAAGGAAACGGGTTGATTGGGATCTATACAAGTTGTTTCTCTGAGAGTTCCCCAATATCCGATCATAGATGATCAGAACGGTATACACCTTAGGAAAAACCATTGTTATACATGGGAAATCATTTCTTGGCAACAGCGCATCGGCTCGTCTACTTTCATCGCTATTCGTACATATTTCCTACCGTTAACGCGCGTGCCGTCGTCAAGTGCGATAAGGGATTCATGACTCACTCCGCGGTTGGGTTTTGTGTAGGAAAGGTGCGTCTTTATTTAATCCAAAATATCTTAAAAATGTACTCGCAAGAAGAAAAGTTTCAAATGATAGAATGGTACATCCAGAATAATTCAGCACGCGCGGTTGTTGAATTATTTGCGGTACGCTTCCCAGATCGGCCAATTCGTCTCACGCAACGGTTATAAATACCTACGAAAAATTCAAGAGGGTGGGCTGCTTACATAAGTGCCATAGCTGCATGCACCCTGAAGGTTGGAAACCAAAAATTAGCGAGAAAAGGGAGGAGATCGAAACTGCTGTTTGTGCCGCTGCAGAAGTATCTGAGCCATGCTCAAGCAGAAAAATTGCTGAAATGGTACCAATAGCCGATCTCACACCCAGAACAACAAGAAATATTTTGCATCGCAACGGCTGTCATAGCTTCAAGGTTGGAACGGTTCAAGAAATATTTCCTTTAGACAAATACCATCGAATGGAGTTTTGTGAAACGGTCATGGGGAATGGGGAAGGCGAACAGGAATGGAAGTTTTATTGGTAACATTTTGTTTACTAATCAATCCACATTCCCTCTCCACGATCATCACAATCCTTCAGGCGTTCGGTATTGGTCTCGGGAAAATAAACACCTCGGTATTCTCGCCTGCATGCAGTATCCACAGAAACTGAATGTGTGGGCAGGAATTCTAGGTAATAACATTATCGGACCGTTCTTTATTAATGGAACTCTTACGGCTGCAAAATATTTGGCGTTACTACAGACGCAGATTGTTCCTGCAATTAGGCAGCTTGGCATTGATCTCGCTAATATTTGGTTCCAACAAGATGGATGCCCGGCGCATAATACGGCGATCGTACACACTTACCTTGAAAGTGTGTTTGGCCACCGGATTATTGGCGGTAACAGAACAATAAAATGGCCTCCTAGAGCACCCGATCTAGCGCCCAATGATTTTTTCTTGTGGGGTTATGTGAAAAGTACTGTTTACACTTTCAATGAGAGAGCAGACAATTTGCATAACCTACAGGTGAAAATCGTTGAAGCGCTCGGGCAAATACAGCATTCTACCCTCTTGAGAGTTCGTCAGGAGTTTTATAACCGCCTGACATACTGTTCATTGAATGAAGGAGACGTTTTTGAGCGCCAGCTGTGAAGGACCATTTGAAACATTTGTGTTCATTATTGCGTTTTATTTCTGAGAACTTATTTTTTTGTTAGAATATCTTTTTATTTTCGTTACACATTTTTAAGAGTGTTCTATTTTTTGTTAGAGTGGGTATCTTCTTATTTTTGTTATGAGACGCAACCTTTATTGCTACAAAACCAATTATCCATTCATAAAAATAAGTAGAGTGATTTAGGTGATTTCGTGAAATCTCGAAATCACCGAAATCGGTTCACAGGACGTCCAATCGAACTGGTGCGTAATGCGCGCATCTACCGTACTTCTTCTGTCGACTCAACGCATACTGAAATTTGCAGCAGACCGCAGACCTGTATCACGAATGAGAATACGCTGTGTTGCCAATTTGAGTAGAGCTTCCCGAATTGTGGGGAATTTAGAGTTGAGTATTGATTCATTCAAGCTTTTAATCAGCATGGCCTAGACGTTAGAACTTCATAAAGATAACATTGAAGCTGAATGCTGCTAGAGTATAGTGTTTCGAATATTCAAAGCGGAGCGGGACACTATACTCGTTCAATGGGTCATCAAGCCACAGTCTTTTCAACAAAGAAATTATTTTACGAAAATGCGTTATATTTTTACGATTTTGTCGTCACCAAATCTCTGTTTCTCAAAATGTACGTCTATTGTAGAATTTTCAGCAAACTAAGCAAGAAACGTGATCTAGTATTTACTCAACATTACGGATTTCTCGAAATACATTAAAAAATGTGACCTAGATACCTAACTGCCCCAAGCTCTTTAAATATAATACCTTAAACCAGGGTTACCAGGTGCTCAGTCACGTTGATTGTCATGTTGTACTGCGCAAGTCAGCAAACAATCTGGCGTAATAAACGTTAGGAATCATCAGGTATTGCCAGATTCCCGAATACCGGGCACCATAGTACCCGTTATAGTTGTCCTTCAAAGTTGTCAAATCGCCCCTATGGCGCAAATTCGCCACACCAGGCAACTGTGCTATAAACAAACCTGTTTATCACTACTATTTGATAGTCATATGGTAGTTGTAGCCCTATCTAGCGGTCCATGATTTCTCTCAATACTGTTGTATCTCTACTGGCAACAAGAATAGGGATTACAAAATCATTTATACAACAATATACAAACATGAAAAATATGATTTGAACCATGAAACATTAATACAATTTTAATAGTTTGAACTTTTTTCATTTTTGGAATACTCTTATGTGGAATCCGCAGCTATTTTTCCCGAAATTTGGGTAGACTTAGATTTCTTAGAAATATGACATATTGGTGTCGGCAACTCTGCGAATGGGAGAAAAAAATCACATTTGTTGAGCGCATCCGTATAAGCGGCAGGCGCCAGCGCCCGTTCTGCCATCTCTCTTTTATCACTCTTCTACTTTACCCCGTTGTCCGTCACACTCCGACGCTGCCAGATAGGATCCTACAATCGAGTGTCTTTCACGCACCTACATACTTTTGTATATTTCCATCTCTCTTCCTCATCATAATGTATAATAATGGTTTTTCCGAAGGTGTAGACGCCGCTCAAACCGAGTGGACAAGCTTCGTTCAGCACGCTCTGCAGCGTGCAGCTATACTTCCTGTACAACAACACTGCAGACCTTTTCTCCCTGCAGACATTCGTCAGAAAATTTCTGATAAAAGTGCTGCAATTAAGCAAGCGAAAAGGTCTTGTCATCCTGATGACATTCGCAGAGCGACGAATCTTGTTCGTGAAGTAAGAAATGCTCTCCATGAATTCCGCAATGAGCAATGGAACGGTTTTCTGGCGGGGATGCTTGACTCTGGAAAGTGGCGAAGTCGCTCAAAAACGGAAAGCGAGAACAACTCCCGCACACCCACGGTCCTGGGGGCATAGTCTTCAGGACAGAGGACAAGGTCGCAGGTTATTGATGGAAATGTGGATATAAACAAATATTTGGCAATTTTAGAAGAATTGCTTTTACGAGTGATGGAAGAATGTTTGACATCCGGCCAAGATTTTGTGTTTCAGCAAGATGGTGCAGCGTGCCATACCTCAAAAGAGGCTATAAAATGGATGGAAGAAAATAATGTACCACTTTTGAAATGGGTTTCTAGCAGTCCAGATCTGTCACCTATTGAAACTTTGTGGCACGAGATGAAAAAGGTTCTACGACAACATCCTGCTCGTACAATTACCAAACTGAGACAAAAGCTTCAAGAAATATGCGATTGTTTTACACCAAATTTTTACCAAAACTTCGTTAACACTATGCCCCAAAGAATTTCAGCCGTAATAAAAAATAAAGGTGATGTTACCCAATGGTAATCTTTCAATTGTTGCTTTGTTAACTTCGCGCATTTATTCGCACATTGTTTACTTGTTCAGATGTTCTATTAGTTATAGGTCTAAGTGATTTAAAATATGTATTTTTTACGACTAGAGTGTATCTAAAATGTTTTTGAGAAAATAAATTGTTTTAGAAGTAAATAGTTTCGTCATGTTTAGTTTATAAAGGCATATTTTGGTACAAATCTTGAAGTGGGCCAATTGAAGTGGGAAGGGGCTCGTATATGGAACCAACGCTATTTTATACGTTTTCAGACAAGTACAAATTTCATGTGAAATGCTAACTGATAGAATTGTCAGCTAAGCCTGATTGACTTGTAGTATGAACTTTTATCCCAACTAGAGACAAATAAATCACCTTCTACCTAGTCTGTTGGGTTGGGTTGTCCAGACACTACTCAAACGAGAAAGAAAGAAATGAACGGAGAGAAGGATCAGAAATTTTAAATTCATCTATGTAATTAATCACTCACCTTATCGCTTCCATTGAAAGCCTTGATTTGTCTCCGAACGTAGGAATGCCTCTTACGTTCTTCATCTGTCATCTGCTCTTGTCTTTGCAACCTTCGAATTTCCTGTTCATGCAACATGATCTTCCTCACATTATTAACAACATCCTCCATAAACCTTATTATCTCTTTATAATGGTAGTCTTTAGCCTTATCTAAGGCCAGTTTCACTTCGTCTACAACGCCCTCTGTCACCATATTATGGAACTCGTTTATGTTGATGCGGATGTCCGCCTCTAGTTTGTCCGCACAGTTTTTCAAACACTCGCAAAATTCGCCGAGAGCTGCCATTTCTGAAAGCCTGAAAGCGGACGCTCACTTGCTTGTTCAGAAACTGATGAAATCCATTAAACCGTTTGCAGATAAGCTGAACGAATCATAGCCCGGGATATTTAAACAATGTGGTATAATAATATCCTATACTCTCAATCCAACAGAAAATCGATCGGAGACCTGAGATAACAACAATAACATCAGGAGTTCCTCAACGTTCCGTTTTAGGTTATCCATTATCATTTGTGACGAGCATCGCAGTTCCCTCGTTAAAACTCACCCAAAGTCGACTCAATGTTTTTATTTTAGGCCCCTACGTCAAGGTCAAACATATGCTTGTAGAAATTTCACAGAGGTCGTGGAAAAACAGAGTTCTTTCGTTTTAAACATTTTGTTTTAATCAATTGTTGTAAACATGTTTTAAACATTCGCTTAGTTAAACATGCGTTTTTTTCTTCATTTTCTTTATTAATATAGGCCAGTAGTTTTCTTATTTCGGGGATTCACCGGCACAACCTAACGGCGGCGTGGCGCGACGTATACTACAACTATTTAAAACTGTAATGACTCATACGCGTGATCAACACGTGATCAGAGCTCGATCCCGGCTTCTTTCCAGTACAGCCGTATAGCGTACGACATATGTCGTTTCTGTGGCTTTGCGGTGGTCAACAGCACAGACAGAGATGGAAATAATGGCTGATTGTTCTCCGCCGGTAGAACCAATGAAATCAAAGACGCGCCTCGACCGGCAGACTCATAGGCGTCGGCAACGCATTGGAACGTGTTTCGTTGAGCGATCGCATATTGTGTGTTTTTATAAGAATTGTTGTGTGATTGTTATTGTTGTGGTTTCTGTGGTTACTGTTTTGGTTATACTTAACTATGGAGAGTACAAATGGCACGAGTGGAAGTACTGAAAGCCAGGGAACAAGTAGACGGCTTCGTAAAGCACTGAAGAGGGACGCGAAAGAAATCGTGCTCAACGTGTTCAATTATCTGAACAGAACTATGTCGCAGGGAGATGCACTCACGCGTTGTGAAAGTATGACAGGCATTCCAGAGTGGACCAGGGTGGTGCATGAAAAGAAGAAAACTGGAGCTACTACTGATCCAAAGTTTAATTTGAAGGGACGAAAGGCCGTTAAATTGGATGACGATAGCAAAATGGCGTTAAGGCGAACCGTACATTCATTCTTCTTTAGGAATGAGATACCAACCCTCAAGGCTGTACATGCAGCGATCAAGGAAAATGAAATTATATCCCAAATGAGCGTCGAGGTAATGAGGAAATCCCTGCACGAAATTAATTTTCGTTACGAAACGCTTAATCGGAAGTCAGTATTGATAGAGAGACCTGAAATAGTCGCCTGGCGTCGAAAATACCTACGCGAAATGATTGAATATAGGCGACAAAGCAGAAAAATCTATTATTTGGACGAGGCATGGGTAAATGCAGGTCACACAGTTAAAAAACCTGGATAGACAAAAACGCGGTAAGTAACCGACAAGCAATATTGAAGGTTTGTCAACAGGTCTTCGTGGACCGTCAGGGAAAGGTCAAAGATTGATCGTAACTCATATTGGTAGCGATAGTGGCTTTTTAGAAGAGTGTGACTTGATTTTCGTCTCTAAGAAAGGAGGTGATTACCATGACGAAATGAATGCCAGCTGCTTCGAGAGCTGGTTTCAAGGGGTGCTTCAGCGAGTTGAGCCCAACTCTGTGATCGTCATGGATAATGCGTCCTACCATAGTCGTCGAGCCGAACGTGTACCGACTATGGGATCTCGAAAAAGTGACATGCAGCAATGGTTGCGCGAAAAAGGAATCCCGTTTGACGATTCATGTGTGAAAGCGGAATTGTATGAAAAAATTAAACAGCACAAACCTGCGAACATTAGTTACGTGACTGATTTGATGGCCCGTCAATGTGGTGTCACTGTGCTGCGGTTACCGCCCTACCACTGTGAACTGAACCCAATAGAGCTCATCTGGGCTCAAGTGAAGGATTATATTGCGCGCCATAACACAACCTTCAAATTACCAGACGTTAAGGTTTTACTTGAGACTTCCATACAGCTAGTAACGCCCGAAGCTTGGCAGAATGCTATCCGTCATGTTGTGAAGGAAGAAACAAAAATGTGGCAGCTTGTCTACCACATCGACACCATCATAGAGCCAGTTATAGTCAATTTCAACGAGGAAAGCGATAGCGACAGTTTATTACTGTCAGATGTAAGTGGAAGCGATGATGAATAAAGGTAATTCCCAAATTTTTGACTTACAATATGTTTCAAACCACTCTTTATTAAGCATGTGACAAATCTAGTTCACCCATGTTAAACATTCATACCCCGCCTATGAACAGCCGACTACTGGTAGTTAAGTGATGTTCACGTGAACATCGATGAGTCATTACAGTTTTAGATAGTTGTAGTATAGTTCGTAACAGCTGATCGCGACAGTTTAGTACAGAGTCGGACTTTAAATAAGGTATCTATTGTAGAGTAATAGATCGAACATTTTCAATTAATATTATGAAAGAAGATTATTTAAACAATAATAACAATAAAATTTAAAAACAAAAAAAACATGTTTAAAACAAAAAAAAACGTATAAAACAAAAAAAAACATGTGTTTTGTAGAAAATAAAAAAATACATGTTTTTTTTCAACCCTGTGGGAAAACAAATGGTAAGGTTAGGTCTTTTAACAAGGAAACTACGATGCTCGTTACAAATGATTTTTAACCGATACTCTTCCTGTGGGTTTCTACTTTAAAACAAATTGACCTTGATGATCCAAGATCAAAATTTACTACAGATCTGACCTTGATAGTTATTTTCATCACTACTCCTGTGAAATTTATAGAGGTTTTCCTAGCTGCAAACATTTGATCTTCCTTTAACCTTTCGTAGTCATCCTGACCTTGGACTTTAATTGTCGTTAAACGTAAAATCTTTCGTTCTTTGGATTTTCGACATCAAGAATAGGGATTTCTATTTGAAAAAATACATTTGTCCGTAAATTAACCTTGAATGTAAAAGTCAAGGTCTAAATCCAAGGTCACCGTTCAATTCCTTGGTGCTGAAGAACTGAAGAACTTTCATATATTATACTTTATTTAGCGTGCTTTTTTGTACAATTTTGGGGCTCTTTAGAATTTAGCCTGCGGAGACAAATTTGATTCCTAGCCTTCAATTTTTAAACCCAAATTTTTTTTTCTGAAAGTAATTAATCGAAGATCGAGCAATTTTTGTGTTCCTTTTTTGTCCGTAGTTCCGCCGTCACTGAATCGATTTTCAAAAACTATAAAGCTTCTTCGTCCTTGATCCAGTAGTAACTTTGGGTGAAAATTTCTTTAAGATCCGACCAAAACTCTCCAAGGTATTACATGGTCAAGGATTAGCGAACGGACAGACAGACTGACGGAAATTAGTAATACGGATTTCCGTGCTGCACCTGTCATATGAAATCAAATAAACAAAAAAACATTTTTGAAAATTTTCGCGATTATACTTCTTCTCCATTGGCGTAGGGCGTAAAAGTCGATTCCTTGCGATCCCGTGGGTCCTAGCATCAAAATGACATCGAATTTGGAATCCACACAGTCGATTTATGCTTGTCTGTTGCAGAGGCCACAGCACATACCACAGTTTTTTAAAGGATTTACAAAAAAAAAACTTAAAAATATCATAGATTAGGATTAAACGGCTTCATCAGACGACGACGTGAAGTCGGAAAGTGAGGATAGGCCAAGTCTGATAACCCAATCATTTTTAAGAATATGTCAAGTTTGTATTGCTGCTTAAGGAAGGCAAATTGAACATTTATTGTGAATTTACGAGGGTAAATCAAATATTTTATTTGTAATTTATTTTTATTTTAAACGCAAAAAAGAATATAGTTTATTTTTCTACATCATCTCCTGATTTGGAAAAACATTTTTCCCAGCGGATAGGCAGCTTTCCAATTCCGTCCACGTAGAAAGATGCAGGTCGTGTCTGCAGCCAATTGCGCACGTAGGCTTCAACCTCAGCATCACTATCGAATCTTTGGCCTCCCAAAGCTTCCTTGAGAGGGCCAAATACATGAAAGTCACAGGGTGACAGGTCTGGACTGTAAGGAGGGTGTTCCAATGTTTCCCACCCCAGTTGCCTCAATTTTTCCCTAGTCAAGGCTATTGTATGGAGGCGAACAGTGTCATGGAGAAGAACCACTTCCCTGATTGATAGGTCTCGTCTTTTCAAAACTTCGCAGTAGTAGGCCGCATTAATTGCCCTGCGCTCGTGCAAAAAATCGAGATACAGCAATCCACGCTGATCAAACAAGACGGTAGCCAACACCTTGCCAGCCGACAAACGTGACTTGGCTTTCACTGGTCCAGGTTTTCCTTGTTTTCTCCACTCCATACTCGCTTGTTTAGACTCTGGGATGTAGTGGTGCATCCATGTTTCATCACAGGTGATAATGTGAGTGAGAAGTTGGTCTCCTTGTTCCTGAAATCGTGCAAGAAGACGACCACACACCTGAAGACGATGCAATTTCTGGTCAGCTGTGAGAAAGCGAGGACCCACCTGGCGCACACCTTACGGTACCCTAGCTCCTCTGTGAGTATGGAGTAAGTGCGAAGTCCGCGGTCATGGCTCTCATGATCGAGGAAATGAAGCAGAGGATTTGTGTTGTTTTGGATGAGACACTCATCCCTTTTGTGGATTACGCCAAGAATCTCGGTGTTACCCTTGACTTAAATATGAGATTCGATCGGCATGTCTCTTTCTTATCTAGAGTAACGTATATGCGTTTAAAACTCCTCTATCCTAATCGATTCGTCCTGAATTTTAAGACCCGAAAAAAGCTCGCCGAAAGTCTTGTGTTGTCTGTCATTTCTTACTCTCTTGTTCTTTATTACCCATGTTTAGACTACGTCCACCAAAAAAATTCAGGTAGGTTTATTTTTGGATTGCGCAAGTTTAGTCGCATCTCAGATAAAATCAAAGAATTCAACTGGTAGCGAATTGATAAGTTATTTTTTGACCGTCTTCACGCATAAAGTTCTATTATCTAACAGACCAGCTTTCCTTGCTAGCAAATTAGTTCCCCGTGGTAGTTTTCTTACCAGAGTTCTTAGATTTAATGCTAATTTTAACATGCCTCCTCACAATACCTCGGTCTTTGAAAGAGGTTACACCTATAATGCTGTCAAGCATTACAATGCAGTCAACAGTGGCTATCGATCCCAACAACGTCGAAAAGTCTCGTTTATATTTGATTCACCCTCGTAATAAATACATTCACGAATCAATGAAAGTGACGTGGCAATTTTGCTGTCACTAAGTAGAATGACACTATTCGTCACTCGTCTAGGAAAATATTAAAATTTGTAATAATGGAAACAAAAGATTCTCACAGGGTGTAGATTTCTCCGATTTCTCCTATAATTTGAAAGGTACGCGACATTTTTTTATATTTTTTAACTATTATGACTGTTGCCAGCTTAACGTCCGCTTCCGGGACACAATATACAGGGTGTTTCAGTTTATTGTTGCATAACTTTAAGATTCGATAGAACTTTTAAAATTAACGCATAAAGTCTATATAAACATGGGTCGAAAAATGCGTGGCTTCCGAAATACAGGGTGTTTAAATTTACTTTCTAAAATAGTTTGTTTTAAATATTTCGAACAATATTTGATGTATAACAGTGAAAATTGGTATACAAAGGTTTTTTGGTACGACAAAACGAACCATAGGCATAGTTTTACTGTAGCCGCTAGAGGGCGCTCTCTACTGTACCTGTAGTGTATTAAAATGACCGAAATTTTTGTCTTAGTGCAATTTTTTGCTTTTTGAATAAAAAAACTGATTCTTCGTACTTTTCAACATAAAAAAGCTCTCTTTTGAATTTTCTTTATAGTTAGCCGTTTTTGAGATATTTCGATTTTTAAGGTTCGATGCATTTTTAATTATTTATGGGAAAATAATATTTTTTTTTACATTTTCGATTTGGGCATTATAAGTAATTAAGATGATCGTTTAGATTGTGTTTTTAAATTCCTAACTCCAAATAAACACAAAAAACAGAATATTAATTTGTTTAATTTTCCAATATTATTTTTAACAAATTAAATTAATTATTTACAACTAAAATGCTATTAGATAGTTAGGACAAACATACAAAATCTAAAGTAGTTGCTCGAAATGTAAACCCAATTGTTCAATACACAATTCACATCTACGAATGATCGAACGGGGTATAGCATTATTCAAATAAGGCCTTATTTCATCACATGCATTCCTGATTCTGTCTATTAGCATATCTCTTATGGTTACGGGAGTCTGGTACACTTTTTCTTTTAGAAATCTCCACACAAAGAAATCTAATGGATTTAGGTCAGGGGATCGTGGAGGCCAGGCGACTGGTCCTCCACGGCCGATCCATCTTTCTGGATAATTTTGGTCCAGCCAGTTTCTAACTATTTTCGAATAATGAGCTGGACAACCATCAAGCTGTAACCAGGCCAATCTTCTTGAATCTAACATAACATGATCCCACATATATGCATGTTCAGCCTTTAAAAATTCCAAGAAGGTCGCAGCATTTAACCTTGCAGGCAAAAGCTAGGGTCCAAATAGTCGATTACGGTAGATACCAATCTACACGTTCACACTAAATTCATGCTGAAAATTTCTTTCCCGAACTGCATGCGGATTTTCATGCGACCAAATATGTTGATTATGAAAATTTACCACTCCACGCCTAGTGAAGCATGACTCATCGGTCCATAAAACGTTACTTAAAAACTCCCTATTATTATCAGTTCTATCAAGAATCCACTGACAAAATGTGATTCTTCGTTCTCCGTCCCCTGGCTGTAGTCCTTGCACAGGTTGCAAATGGTAAGGACGTCTATGGTCATTTCTAAGAACACGGTGAACATGGCTTGCTGAAATTCCCAAGGCAAGAGAAACTCTCCTAACACTTGTGGTCGGATCTCTATCAAATTCACGCAGAATCATACGGGTAAATCTGCGCTGAGGAACATTTATGTTTTGATCCCTTTGGAGATTTCCAAAACCATTTTCAATTATTTGGCGATGCACTCTTACAAATACTGAGCTTGTTGGATGTCGTCTGTTTGGAAATCTTCGTGCGTATTCTCTGGCTGTTTCTGCTGCGTTTCCATTTACAAAGCCATACACAAAAACTTACAAAAAAAAACAGGTTACAGAAACTAAATTTCGTGCATTCACAATTGCAAAAAAACGTTTCAGGTTTCAACAGACAACAAAACTAACTGACAACTAATTGACGTTTAACATTATTCTGCTTTCAATTTCAAAAATATTTGCACGCACAGCCTACTTCTAAAAATTATCGAGATACTGACTTTTTAACGTTATTTTATCACAAATAATTAAAAATGCATGGAACCTTAAAAATCGAAATATCTCAAAAACGGCTAACTATAACGAACATTCATAAGAGAGCTTTTTTATGTTGAAAAGTGCGAAGAATCACTTTTTTTTTATTCAAAAAGCAAAAAATTGCTCTGAGAAAAAATTTTAATACAGTCGAGAGCGCCCTCTAGCGGCTACACTAAAACTATGCCCATGGTTCGTTTTGTCGTACCAAAAAACCCTTGTATACCAATTTTTACTATTATACATCAAATATTGTTCGAAATATTTAAAAAAAAACTATTTTAGAAAGTAAATTTAAACACCCTGTATTTCGGAAGCGACGCATTTTTCGACCCATGTTTATATAGACTGTATGCATTAATTTTAAAAGTTCTATCGAATCTTAAAGTTATGCAACAATAAACTGAAACACCCTGTATAATAAAAAATTGATTTATCTACAACGTATGCTTAATGTTCTTGGACTATAAAGTCGATTTTCTCAAAACCTCCAAACATATAGATATACAATGGAATGTACTTACATTTATATTTTTCGTACTAAATACGGCTGGATAGAATTGTCAACTGAGTCGTTATCAGTCGACCGTCGGTTATCTGAACATGGCGGCAATATTTTTACGACTCCTACTTTGACGATATCATTCATTATGCTGTGCTTTCGAGGGTACCGTTGAATATCAAACAGCTAGGATTTATCATAGCAGATGTGTTGTTAAACACGGTGTACTATCTTTGAGAGGACACATTTTTTACAACTTTGTCGACTTTGCGATAACCGTACGCATGGACGTCACCACTCAATTATAGACCTGGAATCTGCTACCGACGCTCAGTGGCCCATTTGTCTCCAAATCTGGCAAACATTGAAAATACGAGGTATCAAAAATGAATGAAAATTATTACTTATTTCAATGCTATCTTCGCCGCAGCTTCAATGTGGAGATTAAGGCAGCTCCGACACAGCGAGTTTCAAGCCATTTACAAGGGTTCAGCTGCTTCAAAACTGACACTCCATTTTTCAGTATTTTTGAATGAAATGCATACAGTATGTTGAGAAGATAATTGCCCAGGGTGCTATAGGAGCACCTTTTGAAATTTAGTTTTTGCACAAGTTTTATGATGGGTTGAAGTGCGCACTTTTTCTGTTCAATTTCGCGATTTTTTTAAAAAGAACCTAGTGAACAAAATTAATAAGTGGCTCTATAGCACCATGTGGGGTTTTGTTTTCAGCACTCTGTGAAAATTTCATCCAAAAATAACAAAAAATAAAGCGTCAATTTCGAAGCGCGCAATCCTCTACAAATCGTATTTTGGACGAATTTTGTCTACTGTTTCGTGCTGCCAACCCAAGCGTTGCGGCGCAATGTACGGACTAACAAAGGACGTATTCAGATAATTTGGTGGCCCTATTTCATATAATATCGCGTAGATAAGTCGGTACTCATAATTGCGATCGCTGATACTCCTCGATTTTAAAGCCGTTTTACTTCCCACGTCATTGGCGAGGAAGTATTGTAATCGCGAAAAATTTCTAAAATGAGATGTTATGTTTTTTTAAGTCATATGAAAAATTGTATCACTCATCAACTTGGTAACAACCGCTCGGATTTTTATGAAATTTCCACACGGGGTGCTATAGGCAAAAAAGAAAAAGTAACAATTGCTAAAACTCCGTTCTTGACGTTACAGGGGTTCCTTATCATTGATAGAAAAAAATTGTACTGCTTAAAAAGTGGGGGTTGGGGGAAGGTGATTCTAAATGTTGCATCTTTGATATCAGTGAAACACGTTCTATTATTAAGAAGCTTCTGATCCCAGTGATTACAGGAAATTTAAGTAACGAAAATCCGACGAATAATGTGCTCACGATTTGAAAAAATCGGTACCTGCTCTATAGGTTTGACACCAAGATCCAACAGATCTATCTGCAACTGCCGACAGTAGGGACGAATGAATTCGGATATCACTCCAGTCAAGTATACGGGAATTTAGCGTGGAACTTTCAAATTATCGATATGTCAAGGAAATATGTTTTTGAGAACGATAATTTGGTAGATTTTATACCTGCATTTTCTTTTGAATTTCATGACCCGTGAAATGTACCCATTTCGCTGTTAGCTTCAACTTGTGTTCTGCAGTGTGTGATGTTTTTCTGGATATAAGCAGGACATAATTGCCTAAGGTGCTATCAGAGCTTTTTACAAAATTTTGTCTTTGCGCAAGAATTATGGTGGGTTGAAATGCAAACTATTTGTGCTCAACTTCTTGATATTTTAAAAAGATCCTGGTGGATAAAATCGAAAAAGTGGATCGTTAGCACCCTGTGGACTTTGTTTTTAGCACGCTGCAAGAGTTTCATTTGGAAATAATAAAAAATGAAACGTAAGCTGTGAAGTGCAAATCCGTTTTTGGGCGAAATTCGTCTACTGTTTCGCGACGGTGCGTTCCGACTAAGAAAAAATGTATTCAAATAATTTGATATATTTCCTAAAATAAATTCAAGAACTCAAATTACAATTCGTTTATTCATGTAAGTAAACACAATTATCTTTACACGGGTCATGTGGTACAAGGTAACAATTGAATGGTAGTTATAAATATATCTTATGCTGTCAAAATAAGAGGAAACAGGTAGTTTTTGCAAAGCAATAAACAGGTAGGCTTATACCTGGATTAAGTACATTTCTTAATAATAATAATAATAATAATAATAATAATAACGTCTTTATTGGATAACCCGGAGAGACATAAACAGCAAAGTTTAGCCAAGGCTACTCTTATATTTAACTGTTTATGGCGGTTACATCTGATGTTCAAAACATGGAAAAAAATATAAGAACAATGAAAAAAAGAACACATATATACCTAAGTATAAAAAACAAATAGACACAATCTATATCTGTAGCAGAAATGCTTATTTAATCAATAGCGAGCAACATGCTTTTAGTGGTGGTTCTGATACTATAACAGCCCTGTCATGCACTTCGTAATTAAATCTTAACTTAGGTCTTAGATATTCAGGCTTTGATGACAATATTAATTTATGAACTAAAACTAAGAATTTATGTTTAACCAAACTTCCTAACCTAAGCCACTTCAATTCCCTATATTTATCACTTACGTCATCGTATTTACGCAACCCATAAATAAAGCGAACACAGTTATTTTGGATGATTTGAAGACGATTTTTGGTCAATTGATCGAAACATGGATAATAAACGACATCACAGTAACTGAGCATTGACATCACCAAAGATTCGCACAGTTTTTTCCTCAGCTTAAAGTTAAGCAAGTAGCGATTGTCTACTGTAATAGGTAGATGGAGGCGATGCTGCCAGAAATGGATGTGTGCGATCAATAAACAAACCACAAGACTGAACTGCGGTGTCCAATAAAGTTTGTTTTGCCTTTTTTATTGCCTTACTAGAAAATTCTGTTAAATGTTACAAGTTTGCACAAAGGTATACACTGAAAACCAAATACCACTGATGCGGCAATGTGTTCGAGAGAGAGATAGGAGCACTTCGTTGTCTAGCAATCCGAAGGCTAGGCCCTGGGCGCCATCGGTGCACTCTTCCTAACATACATATTGGACGGTTCTCGTGCTTTTCTCTCGTACACATTACGACGTCAGCCAAATAAGAACCTCACCGTATGTGGCTTCATGTATACCGAATGAGATGTACTATCACCCTTAAAAGGTTTACATTTATACTAAGTGACATATAAATCCGAACACCCAGTTTAAATGGTTTTATTTTAATAAAAGTTGGTGAATGTATTTATCTTACTGTAAATAACAAGTGAAAAAATTTTCAGCCTTATCAGTTGGACATTTCGGTTTTTATACTGCTTTTTTTAATTCACTAACGCTCTAAAAATGAATATTTCAGTCGCAGTAAAGAATCAACGTTGGCGGATTTTGGTTCTTGACATCCTTTACGATCGGTTACGATGCCTAGAGTACGGAGACCTGTACGATTTCGTCAACTTAGTGAGTTTGATAGGGGCCGTATAGTGGGACTTCGGGAAGCTGGACTTTCTTTTCGGGCAATTGCAGTTAGAGTGCAAAGAAGTGTAGACACTGTGGTTAGGTGTTGTCAGGCATGGCTTCGAGAAGGCCGTACGCAAAGAGCAAGGGGCACTGGACGCCGCCGTAGAACAACAGACCGTGAAGATCGCCGCCTAAGATTATTGGCCTTAAGGGACCGTTTCTCCACTACCAGGTCCATTGCAAATGAATGGTTTGCAGAACACGGAAGACCTATTGGCATGCGAAGTGTTTACCGACGAATGTGAAGTTTTGGCTTGTTTTCATACCGGCCACACTGGGTCCTCCCTTTATCTCGAGAACACCGATGTAATCGCCTTGAGTGGTGCAGACAACGGTCACTCTGGGATCAGGAATGGAACAGTATTGTCTTTAGTGACGAGTCTTGATTTTGTTTAGGCATGCACGATGGTCGTGCCAGGGTTAGAAGGCGACGTGGTGAAAGGAGGAATCCACAGTTTTTTGTTAAAAGACATGTTCATCACACTGTTGGAGTTATGGTTTGGGGTGCTATAGCTTATGGTTCCAGGTCACCTTTAATCTTCATCAGAGGTAACATGAACGCGCAGCGTTATATCCACGAAGTTCTAGAACCCCATCTTTTACCCTATCTTAACACCCTGGTAGATCCAACTTTCCAACAAGATAATGCCCGACCACATATTGCAAGAGTCACAATAGACTTCTTTCAACATAATGATGTCACATTGTTACCATGGCCACCAAGATCTCCCGACTTATCCCCAATTGAGCACGTGTGGGATATGATGGATAGGAGATTGCTCAATTTGCAACGTCCTCCTCAGACTCTAGAAGCACTTCGAGAGGAGTTGGTGGTTGTCTGGAATGAGATACCACAGGAGGACATTGACCACCTGATCAGAAGCATGCCTAGGCGCGTTGGAGAATGCGTAGCACATCAGGGTGCATCCACACATTATTAATTTAATTTAATTTTTAATTTAATTAATGTTTATCATTTACTTATTATGCTTCATTAAGTACTTATACAAAATTTTATTAAAATAAAACCATTTAAACTGGGTGTTCGGATTTATATGTCACTTAGTATATATAAACCTTCCGAACACCCTGTATAACTGGGCATAGAAACGATTTCTAATCTCAATTTTATTTATCCACTGATTTCAGCCTGGTATCCATCAAACGAAAGCAAGACTGTACGTACAATATAGCTTTCTTCCTCATTTCCCTCAACGTCTCTATAGACTTCACGTCGATATCGTCCAACACTAGCGTTTTCTGCATCAGCATTTCTTCCAATTTCCGGAACTCTGTTTTCAACTCCCCAACCTCCAACGATGTGATTTCCTTCTCGATATTTTCTACTTCCGCTTTCACCGTCATGATTTTTTGCATAATCTGCTTTTCGTATTCAGCTAAACATTCTCCGTGTTCTGAAGATTTTTCTTGTTGTCGACCTTGTGCGCAGTTTTTTCTTTTTTCGCGAGTCCCCGAAATCCCGGAGTACTGTGATGATTTTGCAGAAATTTGGCTGACTCCGTCGAAATCTTCCTCCGACGACGACGAACGTTTGTAAAGTAGTTCTGGTTTTCTGTTCGCAGAATGATTTGACATAGTCTTTTTCCGAACTGACATAGTTGACCCAGTGACATTGAACGTTGACAAGTGCTATTGGGTTTCACGACAGATGTATAGTCAACGCCAAACAAAGTGGCGTGCACGTCATCACGATAAAAATTCCCCGACCTAATGCCTAGGTTTCTATCACAAACAATTGCTCTATTGCAGTTTCATATTAATGTGATATATAAATTGTAAAATGGTCATTACTCTCTTATTATGGTTAATAGTCATATAAACATTGTTATTAAAATATCACATAAGTTGCTTTCTGATAAATTTAGACGCATTATGCGAAATAAAATGTTTTGCAAACGCTCCAATCACTTATCGACATGTAAACGCACTAAACCGATTTCGCAGCGTTGACACATTGTCACCTTGAAACTTATTTAAACTGGGAACTGACATTTGTATTAATTTTGACACTGAATCAATTTGTGGCATTTCAAATCTTTATAAATCCTTTGGCCCCGCATACTGTAAATCAACAACTGTTTGTTTCAAAACAAAATTATTCATTTTACGAGTAGATAAAGGCAATTTTGGTATATAAAGATGCCCAAACAGTTAAGTAGTCGGTGTAAGGAACTCGTGGCCTCGTTAATGCACTACTTTGAGCAAGAAAGGGACAACAACGGGCCTTTGTTGCCTTTAAATGCTGTTCAAGAGGTAGGTTACTAATAATTATATGTAATGCATATTAATAATAGTGAAATTTTATTTCATTTTTTGTAGCGTGTTGCTGCTGCTTTAAAAATTAGTTTAAGGACAGTTAGTCGTATTTCCGAGGGTGTGAAAAGTGATGCAAATTTAGAATCGCCCAAGAAAAAGCGGAGTTATATTAAACGTGTAACCAACACAGCGACATTGGATACAAGTGCCATTCGAGAAGTGATCTATAATATGTATCACAAAAGTAAGATCTTATTATAATAACTTATCAGAAATTTGCATTAATTTGTTAACTAAATTATAATGTCATATTACACATGGTTTCAGAAGAACAAGTTACGATACAAACTTTATGGTCTCGATTAAGAGATAGGGCATTATTTGATGGTAGTGCCACGTCTTTAAGGCGGTTGCTTAGAGATCTTGGATTTAAGTGGCTTAAGGACAATCCGCGACGAGGGCTCATGGAACTACCAAGTATAGCTTTGAAAAGGGTGGAATTTCTAAGGCAATACAATCAAGCCAAGGTTGAGGCCTTATACCAGTTTGTCTTCCTCGATGAAACTTGGATATTTCAAAATGGGACCATAGGTCGCTCTTGGCAAAATGGAAACCAAAAAAGCGTGAAAGCTATTAAAACAGATGGTAAAAGGTATGTACTTTTACACAATTTGCACTATAAAATTTAAAACTAATATATTTTAGATACATTATATTACATGCTGGAAATGAAAATGGGTTTATTGAGGGTAGTGAAGCGATATTTTCTTCGAAAACAAAATTGAGCGATTACCATGGAGAGATGAACCAGGACAATTTTTTGAAATGGTTTCAACATCAGTTATTAGAAAAATTGGAGAGTCCATCTATGATTATACTGGATAACGCCCCTTATCACAGCATGATATTGAACAAAGTGCCCAACAATGCATGGACAAAAAAAAATATCCAAGACTGGTTGACAAATCAAAACATACCATTTTTAAACACAATGTTTAAAACAGAGCTATTGAGTATTGTTGCTCGGTACATAATGCTTCTTAATTATATATATTTTGGTCGACAGTTTATATTTCTTTTGTTTATTCCTATTCTTAAAATAACTGCTTTTTTAGAAACAAACCACCTAAAATATACGTGATTGATGAATTGGCGGAACAACATGGGCACAAAGTTCTTCGTCTGCCTCCTTACCATTGTATATTTAACCCTATTGAGTTAATTTGGGGCATAGCAAAAGGTTACTATAACAGACATATTGGTAGAGATGGTAACAGTGAAAAAGACTGTTTGGATATGTGGAACGAGGCTCTACAAACGGTTACCCCAGACATGTGGAAAAATAGTGTTCGACATACTGAGCAAGAAATTTTTAAATGGTATGAAAGAGAACGAATTTTTGATCGACCAGACATCGAACCTTTAATAATCAACTTTGAGAGTGATGAAGATTCAGATTCAGACAGCGCTGAAGAAAGAAACTCCGACTAACTTTATTGTACAGAAAAAGCTTACACCAGTAGCTTACCTAATTTTAGAATGCATTTTTCTGTATGAATTCTGTAAAATAAATACCATGCATAAAATTTGGAGGACCCCATTTGGATTTTTATTCAGTACCTTTAAGCTATCAATTAAATATGGTAGTTTCATAGTGTCATCTGATCAATAATTGTCATACTTAATGATTATGCAAGTACAGATCTATAATTTTATTATACCATTATTTTTGTTCTCATTTGAGGTTAATATTGCTTATAAACCTAGATATGTAAATAATAAATTTTATTATTTTACAAAAAGATTGGCAACAATGTAAATTTTTCAACACACCCACCTTGATGATGTGCACGCCACTTTGTTTGGCGTTGACTATAGTAACCAAATGAAATTATTTTGATGGTGGTTCTAATAACGGGTGATTTTTTAAGAGGTATAGGATTTGATTTTCCAAAAAAAAAAAACTCAAAAAATTTGAAAAAACCATTAAATCCTTATTTGAGTCGATAGAACGGTCGATATAATTTAATGTTTAAAGATTATTTCATGTAAATGCTGGCTGCGGCTGCGCTTTAGATGGCCCATGCGCAAGGTCAAATTTTGGCACACTCTCTCCAACATATCGGCCGGTATCTCACGAATAAATGCTTCAATATTGGCTTCCAGTGCATCAATCGTTGCTGGTTTATCCTTTATCCCTTAACATGACCCCACAAGAAATAGTCCAACGGCGTTAAATCACACGATCTAGATGGCCAATTGACGGGCCCCAAACTGTTCACCGAACTCGCCTCTCAATAGGGCCATTGTTTCGTGTGCGGTGTGGCATGTGGCACCGTCTTGTTGAAACCACATGTCAGCCAAGTCCAGCTCTTCCAATTTGAGCAAAAAAAAGTTTGTTGTCATCGCACGGTAGCGCTCGCCATTCACAGTTACGTTCCGGCCATTGTCGTCTTTGAAGAAGTACGGCCCGATGATGCCACCGGCCCATAATCCACACCAAACAGTGATTTTTTCGGGATGCATTGGTAGCTCTTGCAATGCTTCTGGCTGGTCTTCACTCCAGATGCGGCAATTTTGCTTGTTAACGTTCCCATTCAACCAGAAATGAGCTTCGTCGCTGAACACAATTTTTCGATAAAAATGTGGATCATCCTCCAACTTTGCCAGCGCCGATTCACCAAATTGGAAACGTTGTGGGAGGTCATGTGGCTTCAATTCTTGCACCAGCTGTATCTTATAAGGTTTTACACCGAAATCCTGTCGCAAAATTTTCCACGTAGTGGAGTAACACAGGCCCAATTGCTGCGAACGGCGGCGAATCGACATTTCACGGTCATCACTAACACTGGCGGATACAGCCGCAATATTTTCTTCAGTCCTCACTCTACGACTGCGTGTTGGTGGTTTAATGTCCAATAATGTAAACTGGGTTCGAAATTTAGTCACAAGCTTCCGAATAGCTCCCTCAGTAGGCCGACCAAATTGCCCATAAATTGGAAGCAGTGCTCGATGCACCGAGCATGAATTTTGATAGTAAAATTCAATAATTTGCAAGCGTTGTTCGTTCATAAGTCGATTCATGGTTAAATTATAGACCAAACTGAACAAGTTTGACAATGACAAAAGACACGATTCACGCGTCATCAGTCAAAAACAGTGTTGCCAAAAAGATACATGCAAAAAAATCACCCATTACAAGGTCAACCAATTTATAATCAAACAAATTGTTTTCCTAACAAGAACGTCATAATTAAGTACCTAAATGTTTTGGTAGGCTGGTTCTGATTCCGGTCTGTCACTGCTGTCATCTCTACCATGGATTAATTAATTGCAAATTATGGAGTCGGTTGTGTTAATGATTAAAGAGAAAAGAAGTTACTTTTGCGAGAAAATCTGTAGTTATGGAAATTATGGCTAACCGGTAAATACTGATATGACTAAGTTTTGCATTGAGTACACGTATATATAATAATAACAATAGCTTTTTTCGCGGAGCTAATCTAGAGCATATTCCGAACACAAAGTACCTCCGATATGTTAGAAATGCACAAGCGCGTGATGTATTTAATTCGGAATTTTTAATGTCCGCGAACAGCAAAACCTACCAAATTCTTTCTGCACAAAAGGTTAGGGTTTTTGTTTTGATTTTTATTATTTGAACTTAAGTATTTTTTTATCAAGTCCAGCAAGTGTGTCGACCATTTTTTTAAAATGGCTGATAAAGGAGGTAAGTTTTTTTTAAGCCATCAACAAATAAATAATTAAAAAATTACTATTTTGTTAGATCTCTCAGAGTTTCTGCTATTTCCTTCATGTTCTCAAGACCAGGATGAAGTGGAATCCTTTAAATGGAATTACACCAAGACTCTCATTTTTTTGGACCTATATAAAAAATATAGAGACTTGGTTGGGTCTTTAAAAATTAAAAATTTAAAAAAAATGTATGAAGAAATTGCTAAGGAGTTAAAAAACGAATCAAAATATAACGGGCGTAATTCGTCTACTGTTTCGTCCTGCCAGTCCAAGCGACGCGACGGTGCGTTCCGACTAAGAAAAAATGTATTCAAATATCTTTCCTAAAATAAATTCAAGAATTCAAATTACAATTCGTTTATTCATGTCAGTAAACACAATTATGTTCACAAGGGTCATGTGGTACATGGTAACAATTGAATGAGAGTCATAAAAATATCTTATGCCGTCAAAATAAGAGGAAACAGTTAGGTAGTTTTTGAGAAGCAATAAACAGGTAGGCTTATACCTGGATTAAGTACATTTCTTGTCTACTATAACAGGTAGATGGGGGCGATGCTGCCAGAAATGGATGTGTGCGATCAATAAACAAACAACAAGACTGAACTGCGGTGTCCAACGTATTGCCTTTTTTATTGCGTTACTAGAAAACTCTGTTGGGTATATGATGGAGTTTGCTAGAACTTTACAGCTTGTTGTCTGCCTTCTACAAACTTCACCAAATCAACCTTATCCTCCGATGAAGGCGCGACAAAGAACAGTCCTGTGATTTGGTGACTTGTTCGATCTGCAAAATCTCGTCGTCACTTTCTTCAAGTTTCCCTAAAAATGTTCGCTTAGCAACCTCCAAATCAATGTAGTTAATGTCAGGTTTTTGATTGAATTCGCCATAACACTATTCATTTTCTTTGGAATTGCTATCCGAATTGTTAGTTATTTTTATATCAGCTTCTTGCGTTTGAGTCTTTGTTCCATCTTAGCGAGGTTGGACTAAGCTTAGAACGCAAATGTATTTAGACCACATACAGGGTGTCCCATAAGTCGACATCAAGCCGAAACCGGGTGATAGGCAAATCCATAACAGCTATCAGAAAAACATTTAAAAAAATTTTATGTATGTGTTTTGAAAATTATAGGTCTTTGAAAAAAATATAGAAATTTCACACCCTACGGCAGTCTGTCAACTCCTGTTACTACAAATATTAACTTTTTTTGGATTTTATTTTTACAACGTAATGATGAATAATGCATCTTCAAACTGGTGTCTCAACCTTACTGCCAACTTTTCTCGTTCAGGAAAAATTGCCACTTATTTCCCAACCAAGTATTCCAAAGTAAAACTTTGCTCAACTTTAACTGGCTGTACAGGAAAAAATGTACTACGAGAGTTTGGCAAGTAACCTTAAAAGTTGTCGCATTTAATAAGGATTCCAAAATGGTATAACACTTAGAAGATTACTCGTTAGCTTATGCACAATTTTTATTTGAAGAAAAACTGATGAAAATCAAAATGCTGCTGATGATGATTTACCTTTACAGCAAATGCTCAAACTGTTTTCCTTCAGCCGCAATACACGCTCGACATCTTCTTAAAAAAGATCGGGTTATTAAACGAGCGAATCCACGGTTATTAACAAACTCAGCTGCTTCCAATAGTCTCTGCCGTAGCTCAGCTACATTTTGAATCGGCTTGAAATACACTTTTTCCTTTACAGTTCCCCAGTAAAAAAATCTAACGGATTCAAATCTGGTGACCGGGCTGGCCACGGTATTGTACCAGACCACCTTATCCATCTGCCTGGAAAGTTTTGATCGAGATACTCTCTCACTGAGAGTGCATAGTGCGCTGGGCAGCCATCATGCTGAAACCACATGTCCCTGTATATACTCAGTGGCACGTCCACCAATAAATTTTGTACATGATTTTTCAAAAAATCCAAATAAACTTCAGCAGTCAAAGTCTCTGGAAACTCGAACGGACCGATTATTTTACCATTGAAAATTCCTGTCCAATGATTTATCTTGAAGCGATATTGAGATTTATCTTCTCTCATCAAATGTGGGTTTGCTACGTGCCACTCGTTTAAGTTATGCAGGTTCATGTACCCATCTTTCTTAAATGTGGTCTCATCTGACCATAAATTTTTTTCAAAGAACCCTGGATCTTCCCTGTGTCTTTCTAACATTGTGCGACAAAAAGCAACTCGGAGCTCATAATCCCGGGGCAGAAGAGCTTGAACACGCTGTACGTGGTATGGATGGAGCACGTTTTTTTGCAAGATTCTATGGGCTGTACTTTTGGGCACACCTGTTTTTAGTTCTATTGCACGCACTGAAGTACTCGGGTCTTCTTTGACAGCTCCTAGCATCACGTCTTCGTAAGGAAGGAAAGATCTTCCCTCACCGTGTGATTGGTTTGGTAGTTGGCCCTCTGCGGTGCACATTTCTGAACACTCGATGATCTGGATGACGAGCTGTATTCGGGTACCTCTCACAGTAAAGCCTCGCTGCAGCACTAGCGTTGCATCTGCATTCCCCATAAATGAGGTGCATGTTAGCATATTCTTGTACGGTGTACACGGACATAGCGGCACTGCACAATCACACTATCAAAGATAGTCGAAGGAAAGCAAATGCTGTTTTGAAGAGCAATTAAACAGTCCAAATCCAAATCACAAGCGATCAACAGTCCAGTTCACGAATCCAAAATTAGTAACAGTACGAAATCAACAAGCTCGAACATGTAAAGATGCGCAGTAAACGAAGGAGTACTGATCGGTATCAAAGTGTGCAATAGCAAGTAAGAGATGTGCTTCATCCATACCGCATACAGCGTGTTCAAACTCTCCTGCCCCGGGATTATGAGCCCCGACTTGTTTTTTGTCGCACAATGTTAGAAAGACACAGGAAAGATCCATAGTTCTTTGAAAAAATTTTATGGTCAGATGAGACCACATTTAATAAAAATGGGTACATGAACCTGCATAACTTACACATGAGAGAAGATAAATCTCAATATCGCTTCAAGATAAACCATTGGACAGGAATTTTAAATGGTAAAATAATCGGTCCGTTCGAGTTTCCAGAGACTTTGACTGCTGAAGTTTATTTGGATTTTTTGAAAAATCATGTACAAAATTTATTGGTGGACGTGCCACTGATAGGGACATGTGGTTTCAGCACGATGGCTGCAGAGCGCACTATGCACTCTCAGTGAGAGAGTATCTCGATCAAAATTTTCCAGGCAGATGGATGAGGCGGTCTGGTACAATACCGTGGCCAGCCCGATCACCTGATTTGAATCCTTAAGATTTTTTTACTGGGGAACTGTAAAAGAAAAAGTGTATTTCAAGCCGATTCAAAATGTAGCTGAGCTACCGCAAAGACTATTGGAAGCAGCTGAGTTTGTTAATAACCGTGGATTCGCTCGTTTAATAACCCGATCTTTTTTAAGAAGATGTCGAGCGTGTATTGCGGCTGAAGGAAAACAGTTTAATTAGGAAATTTTGAAAAATTTTCATCATTTTTTTTTCAAATAAAAATTGTGCATAAGTTAACGAGTAATCTTCTAAGTGTTATACCATTTTGGAATCGTTATTAAATGCGCCAACTTTTAAGGTTACTTGCCAAACTCTCGTAGTACATTTTTTCCAGTACAGCCAGTTAAAGTTGAGCAAAGTTTTACTTTGGAATACTTGGTTGGGAAATAAGTGGCAATTTTTCCTGAACGAGAAAAGTTGGCAGTAAGGTGGAGATACCAGTTTGAAGATGCATTATTCATCATTACATTGTAAAAATAAAATCCAAAAAAAGTTAATATTTGTAGTAACAGGAGTTGACAGCCTGCCGCAGGGTGTGAAATTTCTATATCTTTTTCAAACACCTATAATTTTCAAAACACATACATAAAATTTTTTTAAATATTTTTCTGATAGCTGTTATGACTTTGCCTATCACCCGGTTTCGGCTTGACGTCGACTTCTGGGACACCCTGTATACTGGCCTCTGGGTATTGTGGCTCACTACAGCTGCAGCACATTTTCCGTTATATGACGTCTTCTTGCAATAGTTTATTCGCTTACCCCAATGTATTTTGCTCCACATTGTTGTTGTTGACCTCATCATGAATTAAACTCACTGCATTCGTAATTAAAATGGTCGCATATGACCCTTTATTGTCCATTATACAACAATTCAACAACACAATATCGACGAACATTAACAAGGGGAGAAAAATACTAAATGATCACTTGCTGAGTACCAAAATAAGAAACGATTTACTTCTATACGTAGATCGCTAATCGAAATCCGACTGTTATTATAAAAATTTACCTTGGTATGCACCCGCTGTCATCCTTTCCTCTTTTAAAGTAGCGCTGACGACCGTCTAGGCCCAACCCAACCTCGTTTCCTTTTCACCCCCCCCGTTACCTCAGCAGATGGTGCTCGTGATTGTAGGAGCCCCGTTAAGATACTTTCTTTCCAATAGCCAGGTAAGACAAATAAGAGACCACGGATTACCCCGTATACACCATCGATAATTCTTCCTGTTGCCTGAAACTACAATCAGTTAATGTCATTACCTCCCAGGCTGAAGGAGGAACGCCGGCAAGGCGGCTAGTGATTTCCGCTGAGGCATGATTAATTAGCAAATCGTTCTCCTTTCAGCGCCCAACTGGCAGCGGCCAAGATGGTGGACCAAAGGGCGTCCTGCGTGGGCATCGAGGGCGCGGGAAGGACGGGGAAGAAACCGCCGCCCTTGCTCAGGTCGAGGACACTGCCTGCCATCATAGTGCCAGGAGTGAGCATCCTGCAGGCGCAGCTTGGTGCAGGGAGCTGTCTTGGTGAGTATGCAAGATGCAATGCTGTATTTAAATATCATTTAGTTTCCGCCATAATAAATATAATGATAGGCGTCTTTATTTGATACATTTATGTGTCAAATAATAATAATGATGATAATTATTATCATACATAAATAAAGTAACACGACCCACCGGTAAAACCTGCATTGATCACTGCTTTATAAAGGATATTTCCAATATTTTTTCTTACATGCCTATTATCTATGAAACCGATATTACAGATCATTATTCCACTGTATTATTGATATCTTCACAAAATAAAAACCAGAACTGCCCAAGGGCAAAAAATGAAAGAAACCTTGAATACAAATATTTCACTGACAACTCAAAATTAATATTTAACGCACAAACGGAATCGTGGGACGAAATTTTTTTAACAAATTCTTTAGACGAAGCTACAAATTTATTAATACACAAAATTCAAAAAGTAATTGAAGTTAGTACTAATAAGGTTAAAATAAATCACAAGGAAAAAAACAGAAATGATTGGATGACCAAAGGACTAATAAAATCTGCAAACGAAAAAGAAAGACTGTATAAAATCATGAAATATTTACCCACGAAAGAAAATATAGATCATTATAATCAGTATAAAAACAAATTTATAGAACTTTTGAGAAAAGCAAAAAAAAAATTACTATATAAAACAATTGAATAATAATTCACATGACTCTAGACACCTATGGTCCACTGTCAATGATATATTCAATAAGTCATCCTATTCAAAAAACAATATTAATGAAATAAAAACAAAAACAGGACAGAAAACAGACAATATTCAGCAAATATGTGATGAGTTCATAGAATTTTTCACGAATATAGGAGGAAACTTAGCAAATAATATCAAACAAAATGCTGATATTCATCTGCATGAAACAAGACTGAATAATTCATTTGTATTAACTGAAGTAGACTGTCAGGATGTTTTCAATGCCATTATGACTCTAAAAAATAAAAAAAGCCCTGGAGTTGACGAAATTAGAGCTGAACATATAAAGATACTGGCCAAACAAATAACAGAACCACTTGCTTATATCATTAACAAATCCTTCCAATCTGGAGTATTTCCATCAGCTTTCAAGACAGCAATCATCATACCTATCTATAAATCTAATGATAATACGGACGTCACTAACTATCGACCTATTTCACTTATATCAAGTTTAGCTAAAGTTTTTGAGAAATTACTCCTTAATAAAATGATTAATTTTCTTAATAAATTCAAAATTCTAAATTCAAATCAATATGGTTTTATAGCGGGCAAATCTACAACAGATGGGATATTAAGTATAGTAGATGAAATAACCCAAAATATAGATGGAAAAGTACCACCGATATGCGTATTTGTGGACTTACAAAAAGCGTTTGACACAGTTGACCACAATATACTTTTGGAAATCTTAGAAAGAATAGGTTTTCGTGGAAAGATGTATACTTTAATGGAAAATTATTTATCAAATAGACCGCAATCAGTAAAATTATTAAGCTCGTATAGTAAAGAAATGTTTGTTAAATGTGGTGTTCCACAAGGTACAATTTTGGGTCCTCTGTTATTCAATATTTATTTAAACGATATATTCAAAATTAACAGTATTGGTAAAATATTCAGTTTTGCAGACGATACTGCTATACTCTATAAAGGTAAGGATTGGAACGACTTAAAAGATATTATCCAAAATGACTTTTGCAAAATTATTCAGTGGTTTAATAACCGAAAATTAACAATTAACTTTACTAAAACTCATTTTTTACCATTTTCATTACTATCTAATCATCTACCAAAATATAACCACCTTCGGTTTAAGGTAAATGATAAAAATATAAAAATCAATAGAGTTAATGATACAAAATATTTAGGAATTTATCTAGATCCCCACTTGAGATGGGATGTACATATTTCTCACATACTAAAGAAAATTAGATTCATAGCATATAAAATAAAATTTCTAACCGGTATATTAACTGAATATTATCTACGAATAATATATCAAGCTTTAGTCGAGCCACACATAACATATGGTATAGTAGTGTGTTGTGCTGCATGCACGACATACTTTAACGATTTAGATGTACTTCAAAGAAGAATTTTAAAATCAATGTAAGGCAAATCAAAATTTTACCCAACTAATGACTTATATAATGATGCACAAGTATATGATACTAAACAACTTTACTTCTTACATACCATCACTCATTATCACAAAACTATTAGTGAACACGACATAATTAAACATAATCATAAAACCAGATATAAATTACGCGCAAAAAATGTTCCTAAACCAAACAAATCCCTAATGAAACGATGTCACCTGTATATAGCTCCAAAATTGTACGAACATTTACCAAATAATTTAAAACAATTACGCAATACATTAGGCTTCAAAAAAAAATTTAAAAAATTTATTAACACGATTGGGAGAAATCAAATTAATAAAATAATCTCAAATATTACACAATAAATGCTCTACCATTCTTACCAATAATTTCTCTTCTCTTTTATTATATTTTGCAATTCAACATACATATGATCCATGCACAGGCGTTGTCCTCCTATGGATATATTATATTTATTTACTCGTTTCATGTTCTCTGTATTTTAGAGTAAATAAATATTATTATTATTATTATTATAATGATAGGATGTGGAACGTGAAGACTACAACAGCACCAATTCTATTATAAGAGCCCTTGGAACACTTAAAAAAGGCGCTCAGAACAACTTGAAGCAAATCCCGAATCGCCGAAATACAAAGAAATTGCACTGCTTGATACAGCACACAGTATACGCAAGGTCTTAGGGTTAATCGCTTTGACCACGGGTAGTGATATGGATTCAGTTAATGTTGATCAGTTAAGGGTAAGAGGAGATAGACAACAACAAATAATAATAATAAAGCATTTATTGCCCAACAGTGTAGATGCCATTTAGTTAACAATACATAGAACAATAATCCACAGTCTGCGTGCCATAAAATAAAAAAAAAAAAACAAAAAAAGGCGCGTCAAGTAGAGAGAAAAGAGACTATGAATATGATTAATATATAATGACAAAAAATAATATACAGGGTGTTTCTTAATGATTTGCGAATATTTAAGGGTGTGAATTTACATGAAAAATTAGTGTTAGAATAGAACGGTTTTTATTTTTTTACTCTTTTGCAAAAAATCACGTTAACACGTGCAGCCCCCTAAGTGGGGGTGACACCAACCCTAAAATCTTAAATGGAAAGGGTGGTCGAGTGATATCTTATTTTAAAGGTCTTTCAGGAAAATCAGAATGATCGGCGGTGCATTGCGGATAGGTTGATGTTCCAACAGGATGGTTCCCCACCACATTACGCATTACGTGTTCGACAATATTTAGATCAAACGTTTCCCGATCGATGGATTGGTAGAAGAGGTGCCATTGAATGGCCCCCAAGATCGCCAGATTTATCACCTTTGGATTTCTTTATGTGGGGTCATTTGAAAAGCAAAATCTATGCTACTCAGCCAACATGATTAGAAGACCTGCGACAAAGAATTGTGAATGAGTGCCTTCAAATTACTCCTCAAATATGTGCGGCAACGTTTTGAGCAAAATCTTTATTGTTGCATGTAGAGTCATGGTGGCCATTTTCAACATTTACTTGCCTAACGGGTCAGTTCATTCTTCATTTTTAAATTACTTTGCTGCCATATGTATTGATCTCCACTAATGATGATGTATTAGTTTTATTTAAGCTTTAAATCAATAAATCTTCAAAACTACTGAACTGAAGTACATTAATTTTATATAATTATAAAGGGAATTGAAAGAACTTTAAAATAAGGTATCACTCGACCACCCTTGCCATTTAAGATTTTGGGGGTGGTGTCACCCCCGCTTAGGGGGCTGCACGTGCTAACATGATTTTTTACCAAACTTGTGTCCCCCTCGAAAACAAAATCGACGACTCTGAGCGTTTTTCAAAAAAAAAACTGAGCTGCCAGTAAATGCGTCTGTTTCGTTTTCAATGCGCCATCCTGTATAACAAACGGGAAGGGGTAAAAAAAGTTAAAGATGTAAGGGTATAGAACTTCTTAATTTCTAAAATCCACAACTGATGATATCACAAAACTCGCAATCCTGTTAGCATTATAGCACATTAAGTTTACTGTGACGTGGCTAAAATAATATGGGATACACCTTCGTTTATTGGTTTCATCAGTTTAAGAAAGCTTTAATGATTCATATCTTTGATTAGAGGTTCGGCAGAATGGTCCTCATTTTTAGTATAACAGACGAAAACAAAGAGTTAGATCAGAAGCCACTAAAGTTGAAAACAAAAATTTTTTTAAATGGAAATTTGTAGTTCAATTAAATTTTTATTTTACTACTGATTTAATTGCTTCATTATCCTCAATGTGTGATATGTCATGTAGAAGTTAGATAATATTTCTTTCTTTCTGCCTTTGTAACTTACTTTAATAATTTCATATTGTCCTGGTCGAAATCTTCGAACCAAACCACGATCGTGTCCAGGCAACCAGTTATACAACCTTCTGCTTACTTGGTTGCCTAAGATGGTGTCCCATTCGAATCCTGTGATACCAGTCTTTGGTGGTGAAGGAGTGAACGTGTTTTTAGGGGAATCTTGAACTAGTTCACTTAGCTCATTCATAATAATCGTTCGTATGAGCTTGTTCGCAAACTACCCATCACTAGATTGGTATAGTCTGGTAACTTGGAGTGCTGAATTCGAATATCAGTCAAAAAATCGTCGCCGAATACGAATACATTAGAAAGAGCCAAGCCTATGTCTTTACATTGCATTGTTTTTCTCCAAAATCGCATAGTTTTAGTGCATACTTTTAACACATGTCGATAATCTCCCATATTTGTCGGGCCAATGATACCACATATATACTAAGTGACATATAAATCCGAACACCCAGTTTAAATGGTTTTATTTTAATAAAATTTTGTATAAGTACTTAATGAAGCATAATATGTAAAT